GGGGGGGATGGGGAGGGAGGGCACGGGGCAGATTGAGAAGAGTCAGACTGCGCCGCTCCCGCAGCCGCATGCGCATGCGAGTGACGTGGAGAAGGTCGAGAAGGACTTCGGCGAGCTCGGCATCGCGCCTTCATCGCACCGCAAGGAAGGCGGGGGTGGAGTCGAGAGGGCGAGCACTGTTGGCGGGATGGGTGTGAGCGGAGGGCACAGGCGTGCGGCTACGATTTTGGATCCGCGGGCTGCGGCGAGCAGGCATGAGAGGAGGAGCAGCACGGGCGGCGCGTTCCTTGGTGGTGTTGGTGGGACGCTGGGCCGGCATCGGAGGCCGAGTACGGGGGTTAGTAGTGGTGGGGGCGCGGGGGCGGCGCGGACTGCAATGGGTACGTTCTTGTCTTTCTCACGTTTTATAAAGCGTGAAGTGTGAAGTGTGGATGCTGATGCGGATGTGGGTTTTGTAGGGCGCATTGGACGGACGGACGAGGTGGACGAGGAGGAGCACGCGCGGACGGACGTCGAGGATTTAAGGAGCGCGCCGAAGGAGGAGAATAAAGACGCGGGGAACGAGACGGATCGGGAGATGAAGCCCGTCTTCATGAAGGGGCTCTTCAGGTTTGTCCCCCCCTCCCCCATATCCCTCCTCTCGATCCAGTCCTCCCTCTCGATTCAGCGCTGACTGATGTGATGTGCAGCGTGGCGACGACGACGACGAAGCCGGCCGGCGTGATCAAAGCGGACATCCGCCGCGTGCTTGACAGGATGCAGGTCCAGTACCGCGAGACGCGCACCGGGTTCGAGTGCATACATCTGCCGTCTATCGACGTCTCGTCGCTCGGCGCGCGCGCGGCCGTCGCTGGGCACCGCCCGTCCCACCAGAGCTCAGCCGGTGGGGGAGGTGGGGGCGGGCACAGGAAGAGCACGTCGGCGGATAGCGCGAGCGCAAGGAAGGTCGGGCGCAAGACGAGCAAGATGTCGTTTGGCGTGCGCGGGGGACGGCCCGGGACCGCGGGCGAGGAGATGGTGGACGAGAAGAAGAGCATGACGAACGGAAACGGGGTGGGGGCGGAGAAGAGCGCTGAGAGGGAGGACGTCGACGTGCGCTCGCCGAGCGCGGGCAGCTCGAGCTTCTTCAACGTCTCGCAGACGAACTCGCAGCAAGGCCCGTCCGCGTCCGACGACCCGTCCACCACCGCGCCCACCACCGCAAACGCCAACCACAGCGTCAACGCAGACGCCACGCCCGTCCAGCCCGCGCGCGACTACGCCTACATCGAAGACGCCACCGACAACGACGGCGCCGCCACTCCCACCGAATATACAGGAGCGAAAACGCTCCCGCCGCTCCCCACGGGCGAAGTGGGCCCCGAGGTGTTCGACGAGATCGGGCGCAACACGCTGGCGGTGCGGTTTGAAGTTAATGTGGTGAAGGTGCCGTGGCTGCCGCTGCACGGGCTGCAGTTCCGGCGCGCGGGCGGGGACGGGTGGCAGTACCAGATGTTGGCGCGGCGGGTGTTGACGGAGTTGAAGCTATAGCTTTGAACGAGATGGTGGGAGTTGGGGGTTGATGTTATTTATGCGTATGCGATATGTGCTGCTGCTGTCCCGCCCTTTTACTGCTTCATGCATACAAACGCTCGTTTCCCACGACCCGCTTCTGCTGCTAGCGACCCCGTTTACGACTTCCTCTCAAACACATATTCCCCCTTTTCTTCTTTACTGCATCGGTTCTCTCCATTATACTACTGCTACTACGACTTACGAATCTCCTTTCGGATCTCATTTTTTCAAGACTGCGTGTGTGCTCGACTTGATGGCCAGTTTCTCGGTATGACGTTGTCTTTGCCTGTGCTGGATGTCGCAGGTGTTTCTATGGATGGAAAAATGCTATTCGCCATGCTCAATGCTACTATCGATACCATCTTCATTCTGTTTGCTTTCATATATGGAAGTGTTCGTATTCATGTCAGCCTAGATGAAGGTCACCGCGGTGACGATCCGCAGATGGCCGCCCTCGACTTCAACGGGCACTTCAGCGCGCTTTCCAACCTCGATGGCCTCATGCTCGTACGCCGCCACAGCGTCCTTATCGAGCCCCGGGAGATGGCCGGCCGTCCTGAGCCTCTCGAGCGCGCGCATGAGCCAGGTTCGGCACGTCACGCCCTTCTTGCGGTTCTCGAATATCGTAGCGTAGCCCTCGAATATCCCGTCGAAGAGCCGCGTCATGTACCCCGTCAAGTCCACGTCAACGTTGTCGGGTCTAGATTCGGATTGGGAAGGTGGGGCGCTGGGCGAGACGTAGGCGCCGAGGCGGATGAACGCGATGTTTTGCACGTAGTTCTCCGCCATGTCTGTTACGAGGGGCAGAACGTCGATCTTGTACCCTTCGGCTTTGCCCTGCGCCAGGGCGCCGACGTGCTCGGTCCATTGGTGGCATGTTGCGAGGCCGTGGGCGTCGGTGATGTAGAGCGCCCAGTGGAACTTGTCGGGGATGGGGATCTGGACGAGGGCGATGTAGAGCGAGAAGGGTTGGAGAGGGATTGGTGTGGCGTCCGAAAAAGGTGGAGACATCTGCTGCCAGAGAGGTCAATCCTTGTGCAGTCCATACGCCAGGCGGCACTCACTACTGTGAATGACTCAACGTAGTGAAGGTGTAGCGATGTGCATGGGCAATCCAGCTCGCGGGAGGGTGTTGCGGTACAGGATACCAAACACTCGTACTCCGGCAGTACGTGAAAGACGTACCAATTGCCCAATAAGGGAGACAAAAGGACCCTTGTAGATTGTTATCGCATCGTGTGGTAGATGATGGTCGGCAGGAGTCGGCAGGATCTATGAGTCTCTTTGGCACATGTTCAACTTCAAGGCTGTTCCTGTCAAGGGAAAAGAACCAAACCTTCATCAATACACAAACTGACACCTGCTTTCGTTGTGCATGGCACGTTGAAAGGGTGAGATATATCCTTCCCAAGCCGCTGATATGTACTTATTCGCGCCGCGAAACAGGGTAGTGTAAGTAACTCGCCAGAGTATGTACGGTTAGGGTATGGCGCGCCTAGAACCCGCAACCCGGACGTGACAGCGCAGTCGGCAAGCGCTCGAGAGCGCGGATGGACGGTCTATGTATGAACGTCGGTCTACGTATATTGGAGCGAGTGCCATTCGTGAGTAAGTACTGGCGGCAAACTGGCAGCAGCTGACTCGGGTGCGGTGAGCCGCGTGAGAACGCTTCGGGTATCGGTCCGTGTTGAACTTTCCGCGTGCTTACCCTCCTCGCTCCGCGCCGATGACTTCCTAGCTGGACCGAAAAAGCTCAGCGCGCTACTCAGCGCGCAGCAAACAGTGGACATCTTGATACTATCCGAATGCGTAGCTGCCCGCCTATCCGGACTCCAGACACAGCGACCGCTTGCATAGCTTTTGGCAAGGGAGCCTAGAAATGTCTAAGGACAGTACACGTTGGTCCCCGAAGCATTGACTGGTACGGCAACTACTGGGTCTGCACTGCCGTGTCATCTCATTTGGTCCCTCAGGTACCCGATTGACAGCACACTATGCCCCGCTGCAGTGTAATACGCCGCTTTCAAGGCGGTGCTTCTATCAAGTTTACGATGCGAAGCCAACCATGAGGCGTCGGTGAAGCAAAGGAACAAGGCTGTATCATGTATGGGTATGGACCGTCTCATATACAGGTGGATACCTTCTGCGACACGGACTAGCTTGTGCCTTGTGGGTTGCGACCGGCGCTTACGATCGATGGAATGATACCTGGTGCGCCTACTCGCGATTGGAAAGCTGAACGACGACTAGATTTTCCTTTGTTATGCCCCAAAGAACCCGTCTTCCATACTTCCTCCTGAGGGCGATCAACCCGCAATGAACATCTCGCGCCCTACCTGACTGCGACCTAGGATCAAATTGCTGTACCGTTTACTGCGCCGATACAGAAGGTCACCGGTTAGTTACCGGTCACCTTTTACGATGTAGCCATGTCCACAGCCTTCGGTACCAGATTTCCAGAAGCTTCTTTGCTCGACATCCATAATGATACATGCGGCTATACAAGTTGTTGCCTCGGTACAATCGTTTGCGCTATGCGGTCCCTGGACCTTTTGTCCGTTGAGTATACGGCTTCTGAAGGTTGTTCGTCCACGATCCCCTGGTATGGAGTTGCTGTGCATCTGTGACGCATGACAGCCCCAAATACGAACATACTCTCGCAGAAGGCTCGCCTTATCTCGAGAAGACAGTTTGTCCATATATGGGCGCTCTGGGTGCGTATAAAACCGCTCCTCTTCGCCGAATTCTAGGCATCTAACCTCGTCATCTCAGGACGACTGTGACATGCGCTCCGCCGGTCCCCTTGTCTTGGCCGTTGTGGTCATGTTGCCAAAGTCAAGTCAAGCGGCCGACACGAACATATCCTCGACAAACTCCTCTTCATGCTCCCTCCCGCCGAAGTTCACGACCACGAACTTCACTGCCTGTATGCAGGCGTTCCATAGCCTTCCAGCCACCTGCCACGACCTCCCTGGCTTGTACGACAACAAGAGAAACCCCGTCTCGAGCCCCCAGGATGCAACAGCCATCTCGCTTGAGCTCTGCCGATCGGTGTGCGGCGCATCACCTGAACCTTTCCAGTGGAACACGTTCAGCCCTCAGTTTGGCGCCTGGCTGCTTCCTTGGCTCGCTCTAATTCCTCAACTCCCCTTTGGATCGCGCAACAGATCCGATAACTTGATGTCCATGCTATTGGTCCTTGGTTCACCTGCGCTGGGTGCCTACTCGCTCATCTTCACTGCCCTCAACGGACACTGGATATCACGCAGACTGTCGGGTATCAGATACCCCAATGTCAAGAACGCGTGGCGTGTACTCAGCAGCCTGCAGCAATCTGCTCTTCGCATCGATGATGAGCAGGGGCACTTCTCGAGTCTGATCGTCGCGTCAGAAAACGATGGCTGGTGGAAAGAGCTCGCGCGCGAACTGGACTACAAGCAGACGTGGTCGCTTGCTATAGTAGCCCAGATCGCTTGGGTGCTCGTTGCATTCAGTACGCATATGTTCTCGTCGATGTCAAGTTCATGCTCACGGACGGTGCCGCAGTTCTTACAGTCATAGACTCTTTCGAGAACACTCCTTTCGGCCTCGAATGAAACGGCCAAGGTGTTGGATCAGTCTTTCTGTGGTTGCTTCCCATAGGTACGCATTTGGCCGCATAATTGCGGATATGAATTGACTAATCATCTTACAGTGATCGGCTACCTTCAGCTGGCGCCCAAATGCGACGACGAGAAGGTGCGAGGGGCTGTCGAGTACGTCAATAAGAGTAAGGCGTATCTTGCCGGTTCTGGCGCCGACTCGAAACCCGAGCGCGTAACTCCAGGGCACTATGGCCTTCGCATTGAAGGTAGAGAATCCGGCGAAGTCAACAAGGACGAACAAGCCTGTGCGCCCATATTCAACTACGCACGCTTTCTACCGTGGACTATGTGCGCCGAGTATGTTGCCAGAGCATACGATCTGGCCGATAGGAAGGTGATCAACCACAAATCAGTTTCGGGAGTTTGGAAGGAGCATTGCATGCTTTGCAAAGAAAGCGATGTTTGTTGCCGCAACAGGGAAGGCAATATCGAACAGGTTCGCCTGTACACGAAGGACGACGAAGGACTTCGAGGACTCATTGCGACGGGCGTCTTCGGGCGTTTCCTCATCTCTTCTGCCATTGCCTTCGCCCTTCTGTGGGGTACGGTTGGTGGGGGTATTGTCGTCGTCGTGAGTTCTTCTGTGAGGTTGAACGTCTGTCATTTGTACTTACTTTTGTGTAGCTCTATACTCCGACCAAGGGTCTTGGCTGTCGTAGCGGCGCGTACATTCTGTATGCAGCGGTCGCGACGGTCATATGGCTCTTCATGGTTCTGGTATCTGTCCTGTCTTATTACGCTAGCCCGCCTGCAGTCCTAACTTCGGAAACGAAGTACCACGCTATCGCCGAGGACGATGACGAGACTCTAGACAACCATGGAGCCATCCCCTTGGACACCCTTGCACACTCAGGTGGTGGTCCGACGGAGGTGAATGTTACCCTTCTCCCTCACGCGCAGGCTTCACCGCGGCGCCAAACACCCTCCGCCCGGCTAGCAGCCAACTTTGCAGTGGGGTTTCGAAGGTTGGGAAAGACATTGGCCATCGCCAATTCCGCGTGGATCATTCTTGTATGCATCATGCAATTCTCAAATATATTCGACGAGTGCTTCTGCAATGCGAGTACGATCGGCCTGGGATCCTCTGCTTATTTCGTCATCAACCTCCAGCCGGGCGATGTTCAGGCCATGAGATTAACTTGGGGCTACGGTGCGTACAGCTACCAGACCGTTCGTCACCGTGCCTGTACTGACAAGCGCATCTTCAGCACTTGGCCTTTCCCTTGGGACCGCGGCTGCCTTCGTCGGTGAGATTCACGATTCAATGCAGGCACTGATTCGAGACTGACTCGGGTCTTGCAGTATTCGTAGCTCTGTTTGTTGATCCTCCCACTCCCGAGGTTGTGCGCGGCAGATAGCGTAGGGCGTGTCATATGCAGACAATGTTCATAGCTTCGTTTCGATACCCATATCTCTCACAACTGTCTTTCGGCAATTTACTTCATCTGCTGACGATTATTATGCTGAACTATATGTAGATACCATGCGACCCATGTACTATGATACCTAGAGACGCCGTTCAGTTGCTTGCCTCTCCCGTCGTTTGAACAACGTGTCAGCCATCGCTCTAATGTACCGATTACATTTCTCGTTGGCCGTCCGTTGCATTGGTTGGTTGGTTTGTTCTCTGAAGTAGTCGTTGTAGTTATTGCGCGGGGAGATTATAGAGAGTAGTGTTTCTCCGACTAGAGGCGGTCGCACTAGCCTCTGCCTGAGCTCTGAAGACGCAAGGCTTCGAGGGCCCTCGTATTGTTCATCCTCCGCAGTTCATCCTCGAGGATATCCTTGAGTCGCCTCGTAGGAACCATAGCGACCAGTTCATGCCTGTGCACCTGCACGGTCCCATCCGGATTGTGTGCGCGATATGGGCGCATGAACAGCACATCGGAGCTTACGCTGTTCAACGCGCCGGGATACTGTCTGTGAGATAAAGTCCGCAGGATGGACGGCTCCTCGCAGATCGCACCGGCCGCTGTTCTTGCCTTGCTTTCAAGGGAACGAAGGTGGTTTTCGGGGTCATGTAGAGCATTGATGATTCCTCTGGTAGCCGGGCCCCAGTTGGAAAAGTACCCGGGCACTTCCGACGGATCGCACCCGCTTTCTTTCCTGAGCGAAGTTATGAGCGCGCACGTTACAAGCCGAAGCATCCATGTCACTCACACCATAGCCGCTACTTCCATCAAGCCCGGCAGATCCATGACATGCAACATAGCCATCTTCTGCTTCGCCCAGTGCTTCCATCTTGAAGCTTCCGGCAACGTTGCCTGAATAACACGCAGAGCACCGCCTAAGAAAGCAGGGCAGGGTTGTCCCACAGAAGCATTGCTATCGGCCAACGCCCAACACCTTTGTAGTCGGCACTCAGCCTCATTGGGGCGACAAACGACAGCACCTCGGCCGTCAAAGACGACGTATTGCACGCCCCCGAGTTGTATAGCCGTCGGCAGCCGCCGCTTGAGTCGATAGAGGAGAAGATACACGAGAAAAAGTGTCTTTCCTAGAATGACAGGGTTCAGCACTTGACTGCACGCACTCGACGCCGTTGTAACACGCACCGATTCCCGGTTGACCGAGTACCACAACTGACTGATTTTCGTCGGAGAGACGGCCCGACATAAGAGACGTGACGAGCTCGTTGTACTCGCTCAGTACGACCAGTCGGTCGGGGATCGTGGCGTCTGCGCGGAGTATCCTTCCCACTTTGCTCATTCCTTCCAAGCAAACGTACTCCATCTCTTCTGGGATGACGCGGCCACAGTTCCCATCAACCTCCGCTACTCCCTCAGGCAGCACTTCGTCTCTGCGTAGACGTCTTTTGTGACGAGGCCATGTTCGTCCCCACGCTAACCGGTAAAGATCGGCCGCGTCCTCGATTTCGTAGTCGAAAGATATGGAGCGTTCTTGAAGACTGGTTTCGGAAGAAGTCATGTAGAGTGCCTCAGGATTAAATGGATATATATGGTAGATAAATAGGCCTAGCAAGCGAGATGGTGGTTGCTTGTAAGTGGCGCGACTCGCTCGCGACCTTCGCCTCGCGCGCACGTGGTAGCACTCTCAGAGTCTCTCACGGACGTAGCTCGTACCACCGGTGTGCACAAGGTGTGCATATTCGAATCGCTTTCGAGCAGTGTGATTCATGACATCCCGGCCCACCAGTAGCCAAAAGTAATACGAACACTCTGGGTGCTCACGCCGACCGACGAATGTAAATAACACCCATAATTCCAAAGATAAATAGGCGTCCGTAGTATACATATTGCAGTTCAGTCATCACTTGCTCTTCTTATCCTCGATCTTGGGTAGCCACTGTACAGGGTGCTTGTTGAACATTGGCCATGGCGGAACGACGATCTGCACGTGGGTAAGTTTCGGATATTCTTGCAGCGCAGATGCACAGGCACAGCAGGAGTAATGTCAATGCACGGTACACAAGATAAGAGAATAGTCTCGAGGTGAAGTAGAAGGATGGGGGGAAGGACGAGGTGAATAACGCACCGCGGCTACGCCAAGACTTCCCACTGCGACTATCGCGAACGTAAGTCGAATATCCTGCGCGACGAAGCCCGCAATAAACGCTAATGTCTAACAGCACCACCAGAATCAGTCATACGTTCGTCATATAAGCCAGTACAGGGTGCGCACCGTGATCGCGGCCAAAGCAACAGTATATATCCTCTCAGCGAGCTTCTGGCCCTCGAAATCCTGCAACACAGCGCTGTATGAGCCTAAGAGCCATAAATCGCATGCAAGTAGCGCACAATCTTCCCCTCCAGAAGCTTATTGATTGAGCTCATCGTATGTGAGGGTAGGAGGGGGACGGCGGGGTGTGGTTGGGGTGAGGGAAGGAAGCGAGTCGTGGCGTCGCACAGACGCGTCTGACACGTGGTCGCGAAGCGCGCAACGGCGATTAGCTTGGATTCGGGGTACTTGAAGTTACAGTAAGTTCTTGGTTCCTTCAGTCACATCGCGGCTGCTTTGCTCTCTTCTTCGTTTCGCTAATGAGCGAGTAATGGCTCGATAGAAGGTGCTGAATGAGATCACGGTCGCTATCTTGCAAGCTGTTGAACAGAACAATTGTAGGATGACGCAGAACCTCAAGCGGGCATGTTATATCGCAGGGATACTCATACGACATGGTTGATGTCCCCATATCTATTTCCTAAACGAATGGAAAGACAAGAACTCAGAGCCACAATCTTCTCCGCTTCCTCTGCTTCCCCGACCTCAGCGCGCAATCCAATTTCTTCTCCCTGCGCCTGAAACTCTCCTCGCTATTAAAATCGCCACGCGCACGTACACGCATTCTCTCCCGCACCGCATCGAAGATATCGCGCAGATATCTAGTCGGGATATCCGGCGCGTGCAGTGGTGGCACCAGATGGAACTCGCGATCTTGCGAAATATGAGGCGGGCGGACGAAGAAGAGCGTGAAGTGGACTTTCAAGTCTTGCGAGTCACGATCCTCGGCGGAGAGGAAGCCGAGGTTGAACAAACGGAAGGCTGAGAAATCCGTGGAGTGGATCCGTTCAGCCGCCATTTCAGCGTCCCGCTCAAGCGTGTGTTCGACGTTTTCTTTCTCCGTTATCCCGCGGTGGCGTAGAGCGTACATGATGCTGAGAACCGTCCGGGGCGAAGGCCCCCACTTGCGGGTGTAGAATAGTACACTTGGAATATCGAATCCATGCGCTCGTCTGCGTGAACAGTCATTTGTCAACGTGTAGACTGTTGAGTGAACCCGGAACTCTCACCCGATAAGAGCCATCTCACGTATGCAAGGTAGATCCATAACATAAACCTGGCCGAAACAATCGTTCAACCAATGCTTCCACTTCTCCGGTCTACTAGGCTCGCTCGTGCAGATTATCCTTCGCGCGCCACGCAGCGCGGTACACGGCCGAGAGAGGTTGCGTTATAGTCGACTAAAGCCCAGCATGCACGCATGCGGTCGTCGTAGCCGTACGTGTCAGAGGTATGGTAGGTTACGCCTCTGTGATCGAAGATGTAGTATCCTTCCGGGTTAAGTTGGAGCGCTGTGGGTTGTTGACGCGAGAGGCGGAGGAGGAGGAGATAGATCAAGAATGCGGTTTTGCCTTAAAAAGACGTCAGTATATACGCGCTCCGGGCTATGTAGGGCAGTATAGTTAGACGCACCAGTTCCCGGATGTCCCGTTATGACCACTCCTGAGCGGGCCAACCTTTCACTCGACGATGTGCCATGTTCTTCCGAGAGCGCCTTAAGAAGGACCTCGTACTCTTTTCTGATGACTATAACGTCGCCAATACCGAGGTGCTCTGCTCGGAGAGCACGCATGACCTGCTGAACTCCATCGAGGCACTCGTACTCGTATTCAGAGTTGTGCTCTTTCTCGTTATTGCGGTCAGCGTCGTAGTCAATGAGGTCCTTGTCGTTCAGGATGGTTTTCCGGCGCGGCCACTCTACGCCCCATGCAACACTATGTAGGACACAAGCCTCCAGAGTGGGTTTGAGCGTACGAAGGAAAGTACAAAAGGCGTCGATGACGGCTTCCAAAAGTACAGGAAAACGGGGGAAGTCCCTGAGCGATAGCATCCTTGGCGTTGTGGAAGTCGGCTATTGAGGAGCAAGGTAGAGACGGAAGGACGCATGTCGATATAGGAGGAATACAAGTGAGACGGCTCCTATCAGTGGCGGCATCAGAAAACACGCCAACTGCAATCTCTCGAGTCGTAAAACTGGCATATCGGCGATATTCATAGCGCAACTACGATGGTCGCTGAGCGCAAGTGGCGAATGGTTGCGCCTCGTGCCACATCGGCTGCTCGGAGATCGGGCCGCGCCTCACGCCTCGTGCGAGCGCGTCCGAGGTCTGCTGCCTGACCCGCCTCACAGACACCTCTGAATACGGAGCTGATCAAGTCGCGAAGAAGAGGGTGCTGCTCTACTGAATAGTGTTGCTTCTCTTCAGGGGTGTGCGCACGCCGGCGCCGAGAGGTCATGTGGAAGAAGAGAAGCGCGTCAATTGCACTCAGGTTCTCAACGGCTCTTTACTCGAACTCTCATGGTCGTGCTTACCTCTCATGTCGACAACAACGCTAGAGCCTCGTGGCTTGATTCAGTGATGGACAACAATGCGACGCGCCTGCCCTAGGCCTATGATCTAAGTTCAAGCGTGCTTGCTCTTCTCTGGGCTCTCCCAGTCGCACGCCTCAGGAAGTCTCGCTGGGAGTCTCGCTCTGTCAGGATGTTCGAGCCGTTGTGCCTTGGCAGAGATTGCTGGCTCAATACCAACCACAAAGTGCATGTTCATGAAGATTTATGCTCTCGAGTCGCCGAAATCCCGCGTCTTACGGAGGCTGGAATCGTGAGCGTCGGGCTCGGCCATGACAAAACATTCCGGCGAACTCCTCGTTCGCTGCCAACCACCTGGAGGCACAATCATCTCACACTCAAGAGACTGGACAGAGATATAGTCAAGAAGCACATCAATGCATTTCTCGGGGTCATCAAAGGCGCTACGAAGAAGGATCGCGCTCGTCCCTCCCTCGTCACGCAAGACTCTGCGCTCTTTCTTACCCCACGATACTGCACGCGAAACTAGTCGGAACCACAACCCGAGAGTTCTGCGACTCTCTCAAGGCACGGCATGTTCTGTTATGACTGTTCGCGCCTGAACGTCGACGGAGAAGTTGTGCCTCTCCACGACTTCGTCCGGTTCGAGCACGACGCCGGCTGGCTTCGTGGAACCTACGGCGTCACTCCGACTCTCACTGACTCCCACTGACTCTATACCGCCATTCTCATTCTCGCAGGCCCTGTCAGTGCTCGACTCAGAACACAACATACTCCGCTCCTGATTTCAACCTTACTCTCATCTACTGCTTTATCGTGCCATTTTGAAGACGGCTCTTTCGGAGCGATCAAAGTTGCGACAAATCTTGAGCGTCGCGGGGATGCGAGTCTCTTCAAGACTTCAGATCGGCACAGTATGGGCTGAGTCTACCGCGAAGAGCAGAGTGTCGTCGAGAAAGACTGCTCGTGCTTCCTCCAATTGGTGTCGATGATGACACAAGTCGCTGGACCTCATGGGCTCTTGCGTGCCATGAGACTGTTCTGTCATCCTGCGCGACTTGCCATAGGATACTCTATTGTCCAGTCTTCACTTGGTCTCTGGAATACCCGGCGACAGTCTGAAACATCGAAGAGCAAATGCGTCTCTGCCGTCGTCCGGCCTGCGCCGTATGCCGGGCATCTCTCATCCGCGACGCATCTTCCGCCGAACACCTTCCCTTCCTCCACATTCAGTACCAGGGTGTCACGAGAGCCGCTGTGAGGGATGGCATACGGTATATAAACCCCAGACTCTACGCTTCTACACAGCAGGCCTGCTCTCTCAGCTACCTTCGTACGTCTCCCACCTGCGACTCCAAAGCTTCTTTCTGCGACTGATAGTTGCCTACAGAACGCATACCCTTGCTTTCAACACCAATCCTCTCAACTATGTCTGGAAACCCCCTCAAGGTACGGGCAGTCTCTCGCACCGCGCGTCTAGCTTCCCCAATGCTGACATCGACTGGTTCAGGCCCTCGACGTCAACCCTCTCTACCTCGGACAGGGAATCTACATCCAGAAGGATACCACCGTCAAGGACGAGATCTACGTTGCGGTAACCAAGACGGACGTCAACAACGGCTCCTCCGCCTGGTACGAGCCCGGCGACGACGTCGGTATCACGTGGAAGCCCCTCACGAACAAAGCCACCGACAACTCGCACGTCCGCCGCAACGGCGGCTACGAGATCGTCTCGTTCAAGGACGCCAAAGATACCCAGCGCAAGGCTCTCTACCTCAGCATGGCCGGTGACAAGTCGCGCATCGTGACGTTCTGCGGGTGGTACGACGACGGTGTTGTCGTCCAGGTCGTTCCTCAGTCGTCGTGAAGGCGAGTTCCTCGTGACCCGGCGCTCTGCATCTCGTACTGACAGCTACACAATAGGCTCTTACTCGGTCGCTGACCAGCTCTATCATCATCCTGTAGTCCGTCCGTCTGGTCTCGGCCATATACTCTTTCTCGCGCCACGACGGCTTCATTTACCCGCTTTTTGTATCTTCATTCATACTGTGTAGGCGCTAGCCTTTATAACATTCCATCTTGTGTTTCAGAATATCGATGTGCCCTGAGCGCCGAGCAAGTCAGAGTCTCAACCTTCAGGGGTCTTACTCCCCTCCGTACGAATCAAACTGACCAACATCTCAACCACGCGCTCGAGCGTCCAAACCGTTTGCAAACCAACTTCCGAGGGGAAAAGGTGGCAATCCCATATCCACGTTCTATCTAGTATGTATAGACAAACAAAAGAAAGTCCGTATCAACGAAAGATCGAGCGATAGACCGATAGATCAAGCAATGGATGGTGATGCGATAGTATGCGTATATATATCTTATGTGCTGTAGATGGGTACTTAGGTGGCAGCGAGAGAGCTAAAGGTACAATGGGGGCGATCCGACCTAGCGGGCGCTTTTACACGGGGGACAAGTGGTGGGGAGGGGCAGTGCGGTTGCGTGTGCTGGGGAATCCGGTGATGAGAGGCGAGGGTGGAGGTGGAGAGGTGTGTAGAGTTGGCGAGGGAGAGGTGCCGGTGGAGAGGCGGAAGGGTGTTATGTTGCGATTGCGCGGTCCCATTGGCGCATGCACGAGTACCCGGTATAATCTGATCAAGATGAACTCTTCGTCAGCAACTGATTCTGTCTTGAGAGGAGTGTCCATACCGAAAGAGTCGTTCGGGTTACAGCTACACCTCCCTGCCTTCCAGATATCGTCTTCGCGCGGACAATGTGTGAACGGATGATGGAAGTATCCGATCTCCCTAAAGAAGTGTATCTGCTCTTTCGGCAAGAACAGCGCAGCAGCGATCGAATGCACAGGCGCGTCGCCCCATCGCTAAACCTCGCATGAGCATCTCTACATCTCACACACAAACCAAACATAGAACCCGCACCTCATAATAGAACCCACCCGCCTTATCCAACGCCTCGAAATACGCCGAATACGCCGGCCCCCTCCAAAAGTCCATATCCGCGATCTCGAAATTGCTCCAAAAGTGACACAGGTTGTACGTCTCGCCGTTGTTGTAGCTGAGGTACTTCATCGCGTTGCCCTCGGGCACGTACTGCGGGTTCGCGGATATAAAATCCTTTGTCGTCTGCCAGAGCGTCGGGATGGTCTGGCCGTACTCGAGCATGGTGATGGTGAAGGCGTAGGTCTTGTTGTGGTCGATCATGTAGTGGAAGGGGTCAAAGTTGACGTCGCAGTGGAAGTGCACGTCTGGTCTGTGAATCGCACATCGTCAGTCAATCATTCTCGACAGCAGGAACAGTGAGAAGCGCCGAATCTTGAGCGGGGAACAGGTCATCAAATACACCGGCGCAGCCACCGCGCTTCGAACGTTGATCACCGACGCCCGATACGCGCAGCGCTTTGTGGAGTGTTTCCCAAACGATGATCACGAACAGGCGCATAGGAGGGTCTCCAATTATAGCGCGTGTGGGAAACGGGGTGGCGAAGAAGCGGGCTGGCCGGAGACTGCGCGGCGGGATGGATAGCGCAGTGGGGGACACAGCGTACGGATAGGAGACAGACATAGAACAGAAAATGCAACATACTCGACGCGCCAGTACCACCTGTACGGCTTTAGGAGCTCGTGGTGGTAGAAGAAGCCAGAGTTGAAGCGGCACATGTTGCGGTACGATACGCTGCCTATGGGATGGCTTCAATATTGTGTAAGAGATTTAAAAGAAAGCGAGTAGGCGTACCACCGTAGATGACCTTATTCCTGACGAGCTCCTGCCTGCCCTTCTTCGCCCTGTCCTCGTCGATCCAGTCTGGTTGATACCAGTGGTCATGCGGAATAACGCCAAACTTGACCTCGCCAGCTATCAAGTTCCCAACGCGTCTGGCATCATAGTCAGCATCTCTGTCCTCATAGACAACTGTATCATGGAGACGCACGTCTTGAAATCCTCGCTAAACTCCTCCTCGTTCAAGAACACCCACGGGTACTGGAACTCCCTATTGAACCTGTCCTCCGCCTCCCTCACGCTCTGCAACACGCCATTCAAATCGCTATTCCTCGCGAGCATAAGCATAGTCGCGTTGGCGCGTTTGTGTCCGTTGAACGGTATTGTGCTCGCGGGGTGTGCTTGGGAGTACGACGAGCCCGGCGCGGCGGGGACCGGCGAGGGCGATACATGTCGGTCGTCGGTGATGCGGTGTGTGAGCTCAGAGTCTGTGAGGAGACCCGCGAGGTCTGGAGAGCGGGCTTGGAGGAGGAGGAGGGAGATGCAGGTGATGCTCAGCTGCCAAGTGTCGCGTGGTCAGTTGTGGCCCGGTGCCAAGAATGTGAGACAGCAATACTCACGAGTAGGATGAGCACAAACGCGACGGGGCGCGACGGCCTGTAGTTCGCGATCATCGTCGTCGTGGACCGGAGTACGATCGTTCGTGTCGAGTGAGATGACGCGTGGAATCACGACCAAAACCGGGGTATTATATCAAAGCAAGGGCAGAAACGACCGGGCCGTCGTCAGGTGCAACAAGTTCCCAAAGAACAATGCGGTAGCGCTCCACACGGGAAAGCAACTCAGACCAGAACACAAGGACAGCCTAGAGAGATCTTGCAGAAGTGAAAGGCCATCTCGTACAAACTGCCGCTGAGATATATACTACCCGCTCCAGCGTCTATGTCCGCCCCGCCGCCCGCAGCGCGCGCAGCCGTCAATCAACGTCTGGACTTTTTACGGACCCTCCTTCGCCCAATTCATCATCAACATCAACTCATCCTTCTCCGCGCCCGGCCACGCAGCTCGCACGTCATCCTCAGCCCGAGCGCCCTCAATGGCTCGCGCGGTCGATGATATTGATCGTGTCAGACCCGTCGAACATGTCGCGGGCCATCTTGCTGTTCACTCATGATCATAGATCGCTCTCGCAACTCGTTCGGAGCGCTGTAAGCTAAACTTGTAACGTGGGCGGTGCACAGAGCCAACTGCGAGAGCCAAACGCACGTCCGACCGTTCGCTGCGCAGCACCTCCTACCCTAAAAATACGGCCTCTCTTCTTACTCGATAGTTGCACACTGCACACCCATCCTTCTGCGCACTTCGCTTGCTTCGCGGAGTCTATACATCCAAGTACAGCATACATGAATGTGTGAGAGCACCATGGGACCGGTCAACTGTCCATTACGACGATACACACGAACGTGCGCAACTCAGATACGAGGGTCGCGCGGACCGTCGCGCATCCGCCAGCGGTACCCGATGACTTTCGCGGAAGCATAACTCGGCGCCGGTAGCGGGCGCCACAGCGACGAGTGTACCGCGTACGTGCCGTATAGCGTGCGACTGCGCGGCAGACACCGAGCGCCCACAATCCGCGCCTCCCACACCAATACCCTTTGCAGAGTAAGAAAGCAAAGAAATATATTCCACGAATAGCATGAACATAAGCAGATTCCACAGTGTCGATGAACATAGTGTGTACCCTCGGATGAGAGCACCAGGTGGGAAAACGAGCCACCGAGCCCGAGCGGCGGAGGGAGGGCGTCAACGCGGCGACCGAGGCGCAGATGCGCGCGGGAGCGTGTTCCTCACCAATCCAGTCGCACCGACGAGCCTCCCTCCACGCCACTGCCGGCAGCACACACACGCACTGAGAACTGCGTCGGTGGCCCACAGCGCGAGCCGAGGACGGAGATCGAGAGTGCTCTACGCCGGCACGCCCATCTCCCCTCCGACAGCCCTCAAACACTCCCTCGCGAGTTCCCTCGCACCTCTCCGCACAATCTCCCCCTCATCGTCGCTGTCCCTTCCCACTCTCGTTCTTGAACGCGTAGGTGTGGCAGGAGGCGTGGCGATCGAAGGAGAGGATAAGACGCGTTCGGCGCGCGCCCAGCATGCTGGGGGAGGACGTTGATGTGCTGCTATCTCGACGAGGGGTGTGTAGAGCGCGAAGAGGTGTGCGCGAGTTGAAGCGCTGATGGCGGATGAGATGGCGGTTGGTGAAGCTGGAGGAGGTAGTTAGCGAGTGTGACATATGTATAGATGAGAGATGAGATGAAAGGACGGCGTGAACAGGGAAGAGATATAGCAATGACGAGGAGCAGAATGGAAGAATACAGTACAGCAGCAGTGTATGAGAGACCAGCACAAGAGCATACACGCACCATCGTCACCCTTTCCACCCCGACTCGCCGCAGAAGAAGCGAACGAACTGGGCCAAAGCTTGAGCGCGAGTATCTTCTCGAGTACATATAAGAGCTCCTCCTCCCGCACCCTGCAAGTATGTCAGCCACGGCTAGCCAAGAAAACGCCAAGGCGCAGCAAGAAGAGATTGAGAGGAGAAGAAGGGCGGGGAGGATGTCGTTGAGTAGGTCGCTATATAGGCACGACGCGGGCCGCCCGAAGCGCCAAGACCCGACGACCGCTCGCACAGATAGCCGCAGTGGAAGACATCAACGCCTGCGAGGGCATCACGGCCAACGGCGTGGACGCCAAGGCCAGATACACAGTCTACAGACAAGAGTACCAGGAAAGAGCGAGACGTACCTCGGGAACGGCGAACCCGCGCGTCCGCCGCAAACGCGTCGAGGGTGTTTCTGGCGCGATCCAACAGCGCGGGCAGCGCCAACGCAGCAACGCGTCTTCGAGCAGTATTATCATATAGTATCTGATACTAGTTTCTGTGTCAGTACCACGTCGGTATAAGACAGTAGATCGGTAGCTTGACATACCATTCTGCCCATCCGATAGCGGCGAAGCCGTGCCCGAGCTAACAAGCTTTTCTACTCTCTAGTACGCCTTTCCTGCCTTTACCAGAGAGACAAGCCTGCATGATCCTGTACTCCACTGAAGCTGACGAGCTCGATGCATGCCTTCCAGCGAGTTCATCGCGTATACGAGTAGAACGCCATTGTAAAAGGGCCTACATACTGCCCTCGGCCACTGCAGGACAGCTTGGTATGTAGTAGGACTTGCTGGTGCATCCCGTTGTTCAGAACCGTTACGAGAAAAAGGTCGTTGCACAAGCCATTCTGAAGCTCTGGGGAACCTACAGCGATGAAGGTACGGACCGAGAGGATCGTGAGACACAAGCTCCCATGAGTTCGTTAGACAATCGCAGACTTGGTTCCCCGACTCATCCCCGTCGTCGAGTTACTTACCCGCGTTCTCTTACTACCACCTCGTAACGTGCTTTTCTCGCCATTATGGATCCTTTGTATAGGAATAAGAGTGAGTGGTGCCCGCCGTCCCTCCTCATTACGAGTGCTAAGCGTTTCCCGCAGAGATTAACGACCTGAGCGAGGAAGAGGCCAAAACCCTCGCGTTCCTAGGGCCGTGTGAGCCGCTTGGTCTTTGCACACGTCCATCCCTCACTGATTATTGTCCGTAGATGTCTGTGCGGGCGTCCGAGATATGTCCGATGTAGCGAGGGCTGACCCCACGGGCCTGGGTAGTAAGTCGCTCCGTCTCCTTTCTTGCGCGTTTCATGCTGTTTCCTGCTCACATCCTTTTGCCTTTTCAGCCGTGACATGCTTCGTGCTGGACTGCATCAATCGCAAGTACGCGCCTCCGACCACCCTACAAGATGCCCCCCGCTCTTCTACCCAGCGCGGGTGCACGCCAGAGACTCCAGCCGAGCAAGGGCGAGAAACCCCTACGGCTTGAACGCGCCTTGTGTCCAGACTCCCAACAGCACGCACGACTTGACTCTTGCCATGACCAACCAGCACTCGTGCATCCTGCTCGCCTCCCTGCTCGTCGTTTCTGCAACACTGCAACAAATAACCGTGCTTCATGACTCGCGAGCGATGGAAACGAAGGATTATACGTGATTTGGTGACGATGCTCTGGCTAGTACAAGGCACTCAGTGACAACTTGCATCGCTCGTCGGCTCAAGCCCACTGGGTTGTACACCAGTTTAGCCGAGCGCAGCACTACGTTTTCTGGACTCGGCTGGTGGAGTGCCTCCGTGCGCGGTCTTCCCGTCGTGCTTTCCTGAAGAGCTGCTGCAGCCTGCGTATCCGTCACTCTAGTAATACAAGCATTGTAATTCCCGCCTTTGTATCGTACCCCGTACTCCGATGTATCCCTAGTCGTGTCATGTGTATCTTGTACGTAGCTGGTGTACTGTACTGCGAATCTAATTTCCGCTTCCCATATCTCGCTGAGAAATCGCCCAAATAATGATTTCGGGTGATAATATTGAGACTCATCTGGCGAGCTGCCAGGTACAAGCATGGGCGAGTGTAGGAACTGTGTAGGACCGGCCTATAAATGCTAGGGCTGATACAAGACGGTCGACCACCATTTGTATGGTCTGGGTCCCAATCTTCGCCCAACGTTGGTCTAATCTTAGGCCCATGTCGCCATACAATGCCACAGAGGGGTGCGTGATCAATTGCAGCGTGAGTTCGGTCAGAGACTACAGTACAGCGACGAGCGTACGTGCCGTATAGCGCGCGAGCGACTGCGACGGCAAATGCCGAGCGCCCGCATTCCGCTCCTTCCACACTTCTACTGCCTTGAACGGGATGAAAAGCACAAAGATATATTCCACGAATAGCATGAACTCGAACAAATTCCACAGTGAAGATGAGATGCATCCTCGGATGAAGGGAGCCCGGTGGGAAAACGAGCCAGGAACCCCCGAGCCCGAGCGGCGGAAGGAGGCGTCAACGCGGCGACCGAGGCGCAGACGCGCGGGAGCGCATTCGGCACTAATCCAGTCACACCGACGCGCTCCCTCCACGCCACTGCCGGTAGCGCGCACACCTACTCAGAGCTGCGTCGGTGGATCTGAGCGAGAGCACCTCAGCAGGCCGAGATTGAGAGCGCTCTACGCCGGCACACCCATCTCCCTCCCCACAGCCCTCAAACACTCCCTCGCGAGCTCCCTCGCATCTCTCCGCACAATCTCCCCTTCATCATCGCTGTTCCTTCCTACTCTCGTCCTCGTGCGCGTAGGTGTGGCGGGCGGCGTGGCGATCAAAGGAGAAGATAGGACGCGTTCGGCGCGCGCCCAGCCTGCCGGGGGAGGGCGTTGGTGTGCTGCTATCTCGACGAGGGGGGTGTAAAGCGCAAAGAGGTGTGCGCGAGGTGAAGCGCTGATGGCGGTTGAGATGGGGTTTGGTGAAGCTAAGAGAGGTAGTTAGTGCGTGCATGACGAGTGAATCCGGAACGTGAGAGAAGGGGTGGGGTGAGGACGAGCATGTAATGTAGTAACAGAGGGTGAAGCGTGAAGAAGGGATACAGTACAGTAACAGCATAGAAGCCACGAGCATAAGAGCATACACGCACCGTCCTCTCCGCCCCGACTCGCCGCAGAAGAAGCGAACGAACCGGGCCAAAGCTTGAGCGCGAGTATCTTCTCAAGTACATATAAGAGCTCTTCCTCTCGGGCCCTGCAAGTACGTCAGCTACGGCCAGCCAAGGACACGCCAAGGCGCAGCAAGGAAAGAATGAGAGGGCAAGATGAAGAAGGACAAGAAGGTCGTCGCCGAGTAGGTCAATATATAGGCACGAGGCGGGCTGCCCGAAGCGCCAAGACCCGGCGACCGCTCGCGCAGATGTCGCAGTGGAAGACATCAACGCCTGCGAGGGCATTGTGGCCAATGTCCGCGACATCAAGACCGCATTCATAGGATGCAAAAGGAAGGTAGCCAGGGAAGATTGAAACGCACCTTGGGAAGGGCAATGTCCCACGAACCTGCGCATCCGCAACGAACGCGTCGAGCGTGTTTCTGGCGTGATCCAACAGCGCGGGCAGCGATAACGCGGCAACGCGTCTTCGAGCGGTCTCATTGTCTAGTAGTGGTATCCGTGTCAGTACCCAACTAGAGGTAAAGAATAGACAAACGTTTGACATACCTTTCTGTACGTCCGAAGATATCAAGAATAACAGATCGAAGCACCAATACGCGAATCTCTCACGCGCCGCGACGGCTCTGCCCCTACTAATCTGCGCTTCGTCGTCGCTTTCTATGCTCGTCACAGAGGTCTTGGACGCAGCAGGATGTTGCAAGATCGGGGTGTCTTCTTCGTCCTCCGAAGATCTCAACTTGCTTCCTTGGGCAAGTATACGCGCTAGGTGCGAGACGAGCGCGTCAGGGATCCGTGTGTCGCCGAGGTGCGGGACAACATCTGCTTCAAGCGCCGCGACAAGTCTGAGATCGAACATGGCCTCTTCTTCTTGTTCGGCAAATGGGAAAGCATCCGCGGGCGAGCTGTATAAAGGCTCTCTTGAGCACTCGTGTCGACTGCCCAAGCAGGACAGAATACGCACCAATCCGCCAGAATCGCCCCTCGGAACCCATCCACAACAGCCCTCCAAACTCCCTCCACCCTCTCCCTCTCAACCCTCCCCTCCAACCCCTCCAAACTCCCCGCAACATCCCTCACAATCGCCAAAAAGCTCTCCGTCGCCCTCTTCCACAACGACCTCCTCTCCTCCTCTCCCCTCGCATACTTGAACGCCGCCGGACACTCGTAGCGCAACTTGATAGGTATGGCCAACGCCGCCAACACGCGTTCCAGCGTCCCATCCGACCAGATGAGCGGGTCCGATTTGAAGCGCCCGAACAGCTGCACGAGCAAGGGGAGCGCCTTCTTGCAGAGCGCGACGTACGTCACCCTCAGCCCTCCCTTCGCCCCCGCCTGCCCTTGAACCTGCACATGCGGCGGCGGCGGCGCATCGAACGCTCCCAAAAACGCCAACGTGGCATATTCTGCGATATCACCGATCAACACGCTCGGCGCGCCCTCGACCTTCTGCGCCTCGAACGCCATCGCAGCGTCCAGCACCACAAGCTGCAACGGCGCCAGCGCATCCACGTCCGCGCGGAAATCGGGGCTGCGGGTGTAGGTGAGCGCGCCTTTGATAATAGCGAGTGCGCGCGTGAGGCGCGGCAAAGACCACTCTTCTTCGTTCGCGGAGAGCGCACGTGATATGGACCGTGTGGCCGATATCACGTCTATGAGCGCGACGAGCGCGTCCTGCGTGAGCGGCGGCGCGTCGTCGGGCTCGGGATCAGTGAGCCGCGCGCCCATAGCGTCCACAGCGCCCCACGCCTCCTCAGCAGCGCCCTCGATCCTGCTCCTCCCCTCCTCGTCCGCACCCTCAACAGCCCCCGCCGCCGCCCGCAAAGCCCGCTCCAAACACCGCAGCGCCGGCGCGGGCACGGGCGTCGCGTCCCTCACGAACGCGTCCCTCGCCTGCCGCACAAACATCGCCCACGCGCCCTCGAAATCTGGCAACCTTAACAGCTTCTCCTTCAAGAACTCCGCCACGATGCCCCCCAAGCTCTGCAGCGCGACGACCTTGCTCTCCGCCCACGCGGTGGCGTCCTTCGGCCCGTCGGCCCCCCGCATGCGCCTATCGAGCTCCCCCAGCAAAGGCCACGCGACGCCCTCCAAAACCTCGCTCCACGTCCCAGGGCTCAGCGTCCCGCCATACAGCTGCAGCGTCCTGAACAGCGTCTGGATAGCGCCGCCGCGCACGCTCGGCCGCCCGTCGCTGCACAGCGCCGCGAGCTCGAGCAGCAGGTGCATCCACAGCGCGCTGTACGCCGGCTCGGACGCGGGCGTGCGCCGCGCGGCCTGGATCGCGTCCGAGACGCCCCAGAAGAGCGACTCGGCGGCGGTGAGCGCGATGTTGGTGTCCGCTTGGCGGCCGAAGGCGCCGAGGGTTGATATGCAGAGGCGGAGCTGGTCGGGCGAGAGGACGCTCAGTGCGTCGCACACTACACAAAACGAACAATAGATCAATTCAGTTTGGGTTTTATGTGTCGGGGAGAAGGCGGGTGGGGCGCACCGAGTGTGAGCGACTGGAAAGCGCTCTTGATCAGCGCGCTGTACCCCCGCTCATTCGCCCCTCCAAGCGGTGGCGGCCGCTTCATCCCGAGCGTCCCGGTACGCGCAACAGGACTCGGCGGCGCACTATCGTCCGTCATCGTCTCCGCGAACGTACTGCCCGTACCACTCAGTCCCGTACTCCAGTCATCGTGAGAACAATGGAACATACCTTGTGCTTGCGAGCGACATGGACCGCTTGATCGGCGGCATCCCAGGCTGAACTTGCGATTCTGACGGCGGGCGACACACAGAAGCCAGCACCTCAAAAATGGTGTCCCAGCCCGTAAGAAGCGTATGTGCCGACGCCTGCAATATCGCGTGCAGACTCTCGAGCCCCATGCGTCTGATCTCGACGTCCGCGCTCGATTCGTGGCCTGCTGTCCCGATTCCACAGTCAACAACTGGTTGAACTTGAATAGAATGTGCCCTGGGACGTACCGATCGAAGACGAACTGGACCGGCCCAAGCCCATGACCTGCTCGCCCAAAACGCCCACGACGCGCCCCTGCACGCCCCGCCGATCGTCCTCGTTCTTCATCGCGCCCGCCGTCCGCGCCACCGTCACGATTATCTGCGTAACGCGTCAGCTCTCAGGTCCGTCTCGCAGTTCAAAGAGAAGAGGGGGTGTTCAAGGCGAACGAGAACGAAAGGAAGAGGGAGAGAACGAGAACGAAAGGAAGAGAGGGAACGAAAGAAAAGGAAGGGAAAGAGGGGAGGAGAGGAGAAGCGAGAAACCCGCACCTCATCCAACACCCCCGCCGCGCGCACCCGCACGCCCTTCCCCGCCGCACTCTTAACCACACTCAACAGGTGCCCCGTGAGCGGGTCCCACGCGACGCCCGGCGGGCGGTACACGAGGCGCGTTATGTTCAGCTGCGCGATGCGGCCCAGTCTGCAGTCACGATCGTAGTTCACAGTCAGTTCGACCGTATACGGATGAAGAACGGTGATGGGGGGACGCACCGGCTGAGAGCGAACTCGTCGCCTCTCCCTCCCCCGCCGCCGCCGCCAATGTGTGGGCGGCGCGGTTTGGGCGTAGGCGTGCCCAGCCCCGCCCCCGAACCGAGACCGAGACCGAGGCTGGTCATACTAGCGCTCGCACTAGGCGTACTCTCTCCCTCCCCTCCCTCTGCCTCTCCGCCCTCATCAACGCTCAACATACTACCCCCCGCATCCAGCTCATACCCCACCGACTCCGCCTCAGCCAGAACGTCGACGTTGGACGCGGACAATGCGCACAGCGCGTTTATAAACGCAGTCAACGCGTCGTCCGAGAGCGTCGTAGACGCGTCGAACAGCCTGTCCATAGCCGCGCGCACGTTCTCGGGGTCCGCGCCGTCGAGCATCGGATGCCGCGCTTTCCTCTCCTTCTCCCGCGCATCCTCAACTTTGACCCCGCTCATGCTCACGCTCCGACTCGGCCCATGCCCCACCGCATAGCTCGCCCTCCTACTCGCACTCCCCGTCCCCCTCCCCCGCTCAAGCGCCCCATCAGCAACCTGCACCGCCTCCAAAACCCGCCCCCAGCTCCCGCCCAGCCCGCCCGCCAGCCTCGCCGCGCACCCAACGAGCGCCCTTAAACACGCCAGATTGCGCTCGCCCAGCACCGCGCCGTCGCCGGGGAGGTTTTTGGTCGACGCGGCGGGCGAGAGGCCGACGGCCATGCCGAGCGCCTCGCTAAAGCTCGCCGTGCGCGGTGTCGCTGTACTCCCCCCTCCTCCCCCGCCGCCTTGTTGACTCGCAAAGTAACTGTCCGAGGAAGAGTCGAGCGCGGCGCGTACGCGCGGCGGGACGCCCGTGTGCGCCAGCGCGGCGAGGGCCGCGTCGCGCAGCTCGGGGAGGGATAATGAGCCGGACAGGGTGGTCAGGGACGAGAGCGCGGAGAGGACGTCGCCGAAGAGGGTGGCGGAGAGGGATGTTGTGAGGAGGTAGGAGAGGGCGGGGAGGAGGGCGGGGGATGTTGTTTGGAGGATGCCGCGGGTTGCCTGGGGGTGGGTTAGCGTTTGGTTTCAATTTGGAGGTATCGGTGTGGGGTGTTGGGTGTGTGGATGAGTTGAGGGGGAGTGGGAGGAGGGAGGGAGAGGGACGCACGCAGAGGCCGGCTTTGGAGGGTTCGGACGCGGGGAGCGTTGTCGGGTCTAGAGCGGGTGGTGCGCGTTGGGCGGGGTCGCCTGGTTCGCGGGGGCGCGCGAGGGAGAGCTGGTTGTATCTGTATCACACAGTCACATAGTCACAATCAGTACCGCTATGACCGTATAAGTGCGAAGTGGGAGGCTTGCATGGGTAGAGCATACGACGCCTGCGCATCGACGAGCGCCACGAGCGCCTGTGTGCCGAGCAGATACGGGTACGCCTCGGGTATAGGCGGCGCGTCGGCTTTATCCAGTTGATCGATGCTACACGCGTACCCCAGTCAGATCTACATCCATTGCACGCAGCATAAGAAATGCGTACCACTGGACCCTCATACCAACTTCAACGCTCAGCCCAACCTCGCCCTCCCCGCCCATCATACCAACAACACCACTAACCATCCCCGCCACCCCACCACCACCACCTCCGCTTGGAGCTCCTTCGTCAGAGCCCGTACCGAGCATCGCGGCGCATACACCTAGCAGCGCCGGTTTCTCCGATACGAGCCTGTGCAGCGCCGCCGCGAGCGGTGCGACGACTCTCGGCCCGTCCGCTTCGCTTTCAGCTGCCGCAGCAGGAGTAGAAGCGCCGTCGTAGCGCATATACAGCGCGCGCATAAGCTCGCCGTCCGCGCACAGGCCCCGCACGACTTCGAGCGCCAACACGCGCATCCACACGGGCGTCTTCCCGCGGTACGCATGCTCCTCGTTATCCTCCCCGCCGACCGAGCGCGTGAGGAGCACGAGGAACACCTCCGCCTCCGCCTCCAATTCGCGGCTGAACTGCTTCAGCAGCAGAAACACGACGCGCGTCGCGCGCACCGTGAGCGCGAAGCCGGGCTTCTCCGCCGCGAGCGCGCGGTGGAGCGTAGGGCAGAGGTGCGCGCGGAGGAGGAGGAGGAGGGGCGCGTGCGAGAGGAAGGTCGGCGCGTAGTTTGTTAAGACGGACTCGACGAGCTCGAGCGCGAATGTGCGGGGCAGAGTTTGGATGCCGAGGAATACGGCGGGCTCGCCGTGGCTCAGCAGACAGAGATCCATGACGAGCGCGTGCGCGTCCCGCTCCGCGCTGCCCAGCAACACCGTGCTCCCATCCGCCAGCATCGTCGGCTGCATCTCCGGGTCCGCACTATCCAGCTCACTCGATCTCGGCGCGGACGACAGCTTATCGAGGACGTGCATCACGAGCTGGCGCAGCGTCGCCGCGGCGGTGCTCGCGACGACGGGCGTGCGCGACTCGTGCAGCTTGAACGCGACGCGCAGGCCGGACGCGAGCGTGGGGCCGTAGATGTCCTTGTACGCCGTGAGGAGGTTGAGCAATGTCTGGAGCACGCGCAGCTGGATGTCCACGCCCGCCGTCCCGCCCGCCGCGTCGTTCAGCGCGCTCAGCAGCGCGGGCACGTGTTGGGACGGGACGAGCTTGAGCAGCACGGCGCGCTGCAGCGCGGCAAGCGCTAGCGCGGCTGGTTTCGCTTGGCGCGTTTGTAGGCCGAGGAGGATGGGTGCTAGCAGCGTTTGGGCGTCGAGGGAGAGAGGCGGGGTGGACGAGGCGGAGGAGGTGCGCAGGAGGGAGAGCGCGCGCTCGGAGGCGGAGGAGACGTCTGGGTGTTTGCGCCGCGTTTCGGAGGAGAGCGCTTGGAGCTCGGTCACGAGCATTGATATGGACGACATCGTATGTGTTTATGGGCGCGCCGTGAGCGCGCTGGGCAAGTAGCGGACCGAGGCGTTCGCACAAGGCATGGGTGTGTCGCGTCCGGCCCGATCTCCGAACACGAGATGTGGCACGACGCGCGACCCTTCGGCACTTGCGTCGAGCGACCATCTTGCCGTATCTTGCCCACCCAACCTACTTACGATTTGATATATCTTCTTGAAGCACCGAGTCAAATGCGAGGCAATGCTTGTACGCGAGCGCACAGAGCAACCTCCAGACGCGCTCGCACATCTGCAGGGCGTGGCGTGGCACCTTCGGCCCGATCCCCCGAGAGGTGGATGTGGCACGACGCGTCGCCTGCGGCTCGCTTCAAGCCTCCATGGCGCGCCCAAACTCAGCTTGAGCTCATTGAGCTTAGAAATGAAATCCCCTTGCCCGGTGCACCCCGTCTCGCACAGAACCCGAGGACAGCCCCATGAGGGCGGATTGCACCCCATAAGTACTCTATCCTTCGCTACACACGCTACTTCCAGTAGCACTGGGCTTCTTCTGGGACTAGCTCATCGCATAGCAGGGTGAGATATGCTCCACTGTTGGACTCGGGATAACTGCTGTCGTCTTTCATATGCGTGGTGCGAATCGAAGGATTGTAGTCCTCAAGGCGTAGGTCTTTAATATCCGACGTGATCCTCAAAACACAGTCCATGAAACAGGCGAGATGCGAGCTCGTATCTTGCGCGTCCAAGGATACTTACGGCATTTCACAGCTCCGCCACTTGCCTCCCTACGTCTGGATTGTAATTCGGGTGATGCCGACTCGCGGGCTCTCAAGACAGTCGGACGTTGAACCTCCTCGGCGTAAACATCCACGACGAACGTGTCTCACTGTCTCGAAACTTCGCTGCGTAAACCTTAACTCGAGACGGACGTAAATCCGGAGAAGGCAACCAGCCTAGTTCAGCTAGGCTATGCTGACTTGTGAATACCACTACGTAACATCTAAGAGACGATTTCCCCAGTCGACAGGCAATACCGGAACTTAGCGACAGCAGACCCAGCGCGACGAGTAAGACTAGGAAGCTATCACATGAGCCACCCCGGCCTCAACGACATCCACCCTCTATCGCCGAACCAGCGAGAACCTACATGCGGGTGTGAGTATATCGATTCATCTCAACAACCCGACCTCAGAGGCTTCTCGTACTCACCTTCAACTTAGCAGGCTCATGGAAATGCTTACGAACATTTGCGGTCACGGATCCGGGATTCCCTGCGTCTTCTACCACGGTCTCCGGGGTCCGTTGGGCGTTGTATCTCTTGCGATCACCATTCCACCAGTCACGCTCGTCTTGCTGAATGGACGCTGCCGAGAAGAACTCGCCCAGGAGCACTCTCCCTAACGTTGGATATGCGACTTCCACGTCCATGAGCGCGTGCATGACTTTGCTGCGCGTAATCTCTTCGACGAGGGTCAGCGGTATCCCGTGTGCAGCAGGTGTCCTTTTGGCGCCGGCAACAACTACATTCTGTAGCATGCCTAGACCTCCGACGAGGAGGAGATACCATGGTTGCATATTGAGAGCTTCGACAGTTATCAGAAGCGCTATCCAAGCGGATGTAAAGACGACGCAAATGAACTGGGTTAGGCGCAGCCCGACCGGCACACCAAAGATCGCGCGGTCCGTCCGCACAGATGTATCTTCTGACGTTCCCGAGTCCTGTGTGAGGCGTTCAAACGTCGTTTCGGTCCCGAACGCGTGAGAATGAGCCTACCGCGGAGCCTGAATGTCCTCCCTGAATAGAGTCTCTCAAACGGTTCAAGGCATGGCGGTGTTGAGGTATGTGCGCGGCGGCAAGGTCCTCCAGGTCAACGCCATATCCCGGGTTGACGATGACCAGAACATCGCGCGAACCATTGCCGCCCGTCAGCGCCACGACCTTCGCCCTGTCGCGGCGTCCTGAGTACTTCTCGAGACGCCATTGCGGGAGGGCACCCGTACACAGGCAGAGAAGGGTGCCGATGACTGTCACGAGCAGCACACCCCAATCTCCACACAGCACGCATGGTATCGCTGCTACGCCCAGCTGTACCACAATCACTGCGATGCTACTCATCAGGCACCAGTCCCAGAATAACGGGGTTTGTGGCGTTACAAGGTATACGGACACGTTGAGGGCGACAGTCGCCCCGAGCGGGCGTTCCATGTCACGCAGTAGCCGCCCCAGAACCCACGACCGGCTGCTACGCAAGACGCCACTGTGGATGTTGATGACTTTCGCGGCGAAGTCGGGCGCCGGCATCAAACGTCCATCGCCAACGATGTTTGCCAGAGCAGCGAAGGAGTATGCCACCCATCCGAAGCTGAATGCTACTGGCGGAATGGCCGGACCCGTCATCTGGGCGACAGCTCGGGTGACAACATCACCTCCAATGATGAACAGCACAGAGAGCGTGTCTGTTGGACCCTGCCAGGTGCTTTGAACAGCGTCCACTACCCTCTCTGCTTCATTGACCTGGCGCCCAAGTAGTGTTGGGAGGGCGCCAGTCCTCAACGAACTAAGAGCGAGACCGGAGACGACTGCCAGTCTCATGGGTAGGTAGAAAGATGAACGATGAACTAGGAGAGGGAGTTGAAGCAGAAGGAGAAGGGACCAAACTTGATAGGATAAACGGTAACCACGTGAGAGCGCGCTGGCTTTTATTCAGACAAGCTGAATAGGCACCGGAACCAGTGCCTCCTGATTGGAAAGGTTATCCGTAGAAGATAGACGCGTAGTTATGATACAGATCGCTACTTAAGAGGCACTTCTTTGCGCCGGCTCGGCGCATCATTGCGAGATCCAGGCTGGCCGCACTAGCAAGCCCAGTAAGCACTGAAAAGAGTGAATAGACGTGCGATCGTACAGGAAGATTCCATTCGTCGTTGTATCGAAGGAGATGGATGGTTCTCGTACTCTAAGTAGTGCAGATGTGGTCGCTGAATACATCCCAAAGATTCAGCCTTGCACCATGAGCAAGGTAATCGGGGTTTGAAGTTCGACCAGTCTCATGTACGTGTCCTGGCAAATAAGGAAGTGACGTGTGCGAGATGGGACGCTCAGTCAATATAAGCTAGGCTGTGCGATATATGGACGATGGTGGTAGAAGACTGGATTGGTTCTTCGGCAACAGCCACGAGGCATGATTCATGATGGTTGACACACTGATCGGAGGACGTCGCCGGAGCCTTGAGTCGGCAGTTTCCGGCGCCGATGCCGCGCGGTCGTTTACTTACGGTCGCCTGTCGCCTTCGTCCCAGCATCCACAGTTCTGTCGATGCGCTTGCACATTTGACCAAAGGGAGCTTGCTCCGTGGAGAACTGCTTTCATTCCGTATCTGTTCGCATCGATTGTGTGAGAGTCTGTGCGCGCACACCCCACTAGACAGTGAAATGAATTCGCAGCGGCGACGGTGAATCCGAGGACTCGGTGGATTGCTTTCGTTCGTCTCGAACCTGCAGACTTGCTGGCCAGATCAGTACTAACCAAACCTTCTCAGCTTCTTCGAAGAGTCCAGTACTTGGGAATACCCCGGTACTTGCAGCACCCTGACCTCGAGGCCCAGAGGAGCCACTATACAGCGGCCGAAACTCGGAAAAGGCAGTGTACACGTCTTCATCAAACATCGCCACCGTCGCAATGGGCGTATAGTTGGCTCTCCCGGGCTCGCGTGGGAGACCCAGGTACCCAGAGAGAACGATCTACGGTCGGCGTAATGTCGCAGGAGACGATGACACCATGAGCTCGCGTACCACCAGAAATCCGCCTCACAGCCTCTTCATTCCCATCCGAAGTCTAGCACAAACAGTGGCCTTATGCCAGAGCAAACCCTACAGACGAGATTCTTCTCCGACTTCGCTCTCGATGGATCGATACAGGCGTGTGATTGCATCCAGGGTAGTTATATGGCACCTCGGGATGCAGCAATCGTCAACCCCCCTTTTTGCTCTGCTTACTAGGTGTTCGTCTCTTTACTCGTTACTACCCTTCTACGTCTGATAAGTGTAATGGCCATGTCTCTGAGCATCACCTCCCCTTGGGGAACCGGAAGGCTCAACCGAGTGTGCCTCTCATCCTCAGGGGGTATTGATACTGCAGTATTGACCCGTACATCGGACCTGTCGGACCTACGATGGCTAGGCCAGACCTTCCTCTACTTTCCGAGCATTCCCTGGCTTGAGGGCTATGTGATTGCAAAGCGTTCGGGTTTGACATCCGCTCAAGACTCCGATGCAGTTGGCAATGATCACTCTGGTCGTGACTACCAGGACGAGAGCCCTACCTGCTCTGTAGACGATGCCTTCTCTGTCAAGATGGCCATCGTTGATATGCTTGAGAACATCATGTGCATGGAACTTCCCGAGGAGATACTGAGTGCCCATGAGTTGTCGGGCGAGTCTTTGTCGCGCCTCATCATACCGTGGGCGCGTGACCTCATCGCTACTCCTTCCCCCCCACGCCCGAGACTCGGACAGCCCACCAATTGGCTCCTGAACGATATCTTGTCGTGCCATGTCATCTCAGGAATTCATGGGAGGCACAAGTTCTGGCTCTTAAAGCAGTCCACACGCTATCTGGATGAGCTGTTCCACCAACCTGGTGTCACCATTGACCCAAGGTTGAAGTGTTCGGTGGGGGTTCTCATCTCAGGACTAGAGAACTGCATTGCGTTCATATGGCGTCTCCGCCACCCACTCATCCTGGACAACTCGAGGCCGGGCGCGGAGGCGTTTAAGTCTCTGAAATATGACATCGCGGCCCGCGATGGGCGCCTTTTTCAAGAGATGGAACGGGTAATCATTGCAGGAATATCCTTCGCTGCATATGCGGCATACAATGAAGTCCTGCCTTCTTGGGATAGAAACCTGAATGTGAACACAGAGACCTACAGACCAAAACACCATGACCAGTGCTCGGGTTTCTGTCCCTTCATCGTGCCTCCATTCGATCAGGTGCAACGGTGCATCATGGGAAATCATATTCCCGTTCTCGTGTACAACGGATCTGGTTTTACTGTTCTGGAGGGAGCACATACCCATTATACTGCTATATCCCATGTTTGGGCTGATGGACTAGGGAGCGACACAGAGCACGGCCTTCCGCGTTGCCAAGTCGAGCGACTCACTGAGCTGGTGAAATTGCTCGACCCCTTGAGCAATGGTGCGTTCTGGCAGGATGGGCTGTGCATACCCCACGAGAAACGTCTCCGCAGACCCGCCATCAATCTGATGGCGGTCACATATAGAAATGCCGCCCGAGTGCTGGTTATCGATGAGGGTATTCGCAGATCGTGTGATGTTACCATGCCACGCGAGGATTGTTTGATGCATATTGCGATGTCAGCCTGGATGAGCCGAGTATGGACTCTTCAGGAGGGTATGCTCGCGAAAGAGCTTGACTTCCTAGTGAAGGATGACAAGTTTCTTGATTGCACATACTTCAATGACTGCTCTAGTGATCTCGCGCACCGGCTCCTCCCTATATTCCATCCTCGCAATTCTGCGAAGCCAGATCTTCCTAGAATGTACAGACAGCACATGGATTACGCGCCGACTACCAGGTTCGAGCGTCTCATCGATCTTCTCCGCCATCGAAAGACCAGTCACGCACGAGATGAACCCATTGTCATTGCAGGTCTCATCGAAAGCAACCAGGATTTCCCAGACGTGAACGTGAACAAACTCCAAGAATACGAAGATTCTGCTACTCGCATGACAGAATTGCTCAAGCAAGCGCGAAGACTGCCCTGTGGTATTCTCGGGGGCTGGACCACTCAGCGTCTGACCACTGACAATTTCCATTGGGCTCCGCGTACTTTCGCATATCTATATTGGGGCACCGGGGACACTTCTGGAATTTGCACAGAGGACGGTTTCTTCATTACTCTGAACATGATACGTTTTCAGCAACACGTGTTGGCAAAAGACCGAGTTATAGTCAACATTCGACACGAGGATGCATCAAAACTAGCCACAAACCCACTTGAACATCGTTACATGATGCGGATACCATCGTATCCAGAGATGGAGCAGCTGAGCGTGGATGGCCTCCTAACGTTTCGAAGCCTCCCCACGTCAATCGAAGAAATCTATGCGTATGCCATCCATTTTCCAGAGGCACCGAATGATTCTTCTGCCCACGGTGTAACAACCTGTCGATTTATCGTATGTGGTGTGCTGGAGCGCACGGTCGATGATGACCTCGCTCAATCTTTAGACAGCATCAACGCTACTTGGGAGCATAAGCGGCAGATTAGGCTAGTATAATGAGCATCTGCGTAAAGGTAGTTTTGACAAATACTCATCTTCTCATCCGATGGACTCGGTAAGGATAGCACGCCAGTATGAAAGCAAAGCCCGAGGGTGTCGTGTTACTGTATTGTGAAAGTTCAGTGTAGGTGGACCAGGGCGGCGAGGATATAGGTGGTGGTAGGGTCGCCGGGCTCGCGGGGTCAGGCGAAGGATGGTTGGTTGTATCTATAGCACATGCATACCCAATCAGTAAGGCATGAAGGGCGTATGTCAGGAAGAACTGCGTACATGGGTAAAGCGTACAAAGCCTGGGCGTCCACGAGCGCTACGAGCGCCTGCGTACCGAGTGGATCCGGATATGCTTCAGAGTTGACCGAGACATCAGCCGTATCCAGCTATTCAATGCTACATGATACCAATCAGTCACACATATCATCACGGAGAGCAGGAGAACGCACCACTGCACCGTCATCCCAACCTCAACACTAAACCCAACCTCCTGGGTGCAGGTCTGCGCGGAGGAGGAGGAGTATTACGAGAGGGATGTAGGCGAGTGATTTCGTCAAGACGAATTTAACGGATTCGAGCGCGAATATGCGCGGCAACGTCTGGATGCGCAGGAAGGACGCTAGCTCGCCATGGCTAAGCAGACACGAGTGCGAGCTTGAGCAGTACGGCCCTCTGCAGCGCTGCCAGCCCCAAGACGGCGGGTTTGGCTTGTCCGGTTTGTAGATCGAGGAGGATGTGCGCGGGCAGCGTTTGTGGGTCGAGCAAGAGTGGAGGTGTCGAGGAGGCGGTTTGCGCCGGGTTTCGGAGGAGAGGGCTTGGAGCTCGGTTGCGAGCATTGAGATAGACGACATCGCGCGTGGATAGACGCGCCGTGTTGCATGACGGTTCGAGTGAAGGGCCGTCGAGAGCGTGATTGACGCCTCTTTTCTTCCACGACCTCTTGGCGTCAGCGAGCTTCGCACTCCTGATGGGAAGCAACAGTATTCAGTAGAGCGGCACCCTCTTCTTCGCGACTTGCTCAGCTCCGTACTGAGAGGTATAGAGGCAGGGTCAAGTGGCAGAGCGTGGGGTCAGGGTGGCCAGGCGCGCCCAAGCCGGCGGCCCCGGCCCGAACCGCTTGAACCGCGACGCTCATGAGCCACTCGTTCGCACAAACCTGCATCCACAGCACTTGTGAGATTCTGTTGCTACGAGCCCCAAGTCGAGGTCATCAGAGACTGGATTGCGCGTCTCTACGCGGGCTGAGAGCTCTGGTTTAGCGCAGTTGTGTTAAGAATGCCCGTAAGTTGGTGTTTTGACTTCTACGTTGGCCACATTGCCTACTTTATTCTGCCCCTCCATCCGACGCGTCACTTGAAGCGCGAGGAGAGTCGAGACATTGCCGATGCCATGCTGCACGGGTTGCAGATGAGCTTGCCCATGCCTCGACTCGATCTGAACTGTAGCGCGCAAGCGGCGACGCGCCACAATCTGCAGTTAGACTCTTCTCTCATACTGCTTACACCACTACCGAGCGCACCCAATCGCCGACACACGTTGAAAGTCCGACATCTTCATCGTGATGTCTTGTAGTAAGCCCTCAGCGCCTCAGCTATCGCTCCGCTTGCTACGCTGGCGCTCACGCAAGAGTGCTGACAGGTCCGAACTCCGTGACTCCGGAGAGTGGGTTCAACCTCGTGTGGCACTTCGTTGTACGTAGCATCGAGGCTCGTTAGACCAGAGGCTTGAGGGGTGATATTGTAATGTGATCCACATATTGCATTACATCCAGAGCTCAACAGCGGATGTACTGATCCGTATAAAAGGGTGATTTACCAGCAGACAGTCTACAGCATCTGAAGTTCGACTCAGACGTCCTACTCAACCTCCTCTTGCTTGCACAGTCCTCTAGGCAGCTATGGCATTGAACAAGAGCGAAGTCGCACTTTTCAGTCCTCGTCACGAGTGCGCACAACGTTCCCTCTCCTTGCACATCGTACTCATGTACTTTCACCTTCACCTACGACTGCCAGGATCTACCCGCTCATCGACCCCGAGCCTGTCTTCGCCGCGCAAGCATACAAAGACCAGGTCGTCCTCGTCACCGGCGCATCCTCCGGTATCGGCTTCTTCACCGCCCTCACATACGCCCGCGCTGGCGCGCACGTCGTGATCAACTCCCGCAACGTCTCCGCCGATCTCTTTGCCAAGAAGGCCGAGATCGAGGAAAAGGTCAAGGGCGCACAGGTGCTGACCGTTGTGGGCGACATCAGCGACGTTGACGTTGGTAAGAAGATCGTTAAAGCCGCGGTGGATGCCTGGGCCAGGGTCGACATCGTCATTGCCAATGCGGCCGTGCTTATGGGTGGTGCGCGTACGTTCTGTTTCACATCGCCTCGCGCCTGCAGAAGGGGTTTGACGCCATGCGGACTGTAGGGCTCCACGAGCGAGACCCTGTGAAGTGGTGGTACAGCCAGGAAGTCAACGTCCGCGGCGTCCTAAACATCGTTCAGTACGTTATAGATCATGAGTTCATCCTTCTCTTCACCTAACACGGTACGAACGCAGCGCGGCGATCCCAGAGCTTCTCAAGGCCAAAGGTCAGATCATCGTCTCAACCACGGACCTCGCACACGTCCGCCTCCCGCTACTCTCAGACATGTCTATCAGCAAACACACGGTCAATCGCTTCATCGAGATCCTTGCGCTCGGTACGGTCTCCTTGTTTATCCCACGACCCCCCATTGACAGAGATTCGTCGCAGATTATCCCGAGCTGACGGCGTACGCCGTTCATGCGGGCGAGATCATGACCGAGGGCGCAGAGGCCGCGCAGAAGCGGCTGGGACTCTACGGCAAGATCAATATGCCGGACTCGCTCGAGTTTGGGGCAGCGATGTACCTTTGGATCACTGGTAGGAACGCCGAGTTCCTCAACGGAAGGTGTGTACTCTCATGTGTCGCCTGGGTGGTACTAAGCTGAGTCATCGAAAGGTACATACAGGCGAGCTGGGACTTGAATGAGGTGCTCGCGAAGAAGGAAGAGATCCTAAGGGACAACTTGCTCGTTACCAAGCTTGCGGGGCCAAAGAAGGCGTAGAACTGTGAACAATATGACGTATCGCGTATTTCGCAGTGTGGAGATCCGAATAAAGCAGAGATATCAACACTATTTCAGCCATGGCGACCATCTGCGAGAAGCAGTGGTCTAACAGCAAGGCTGAAGTCGAACGTCTAGCCAGCAATATCTGTCGGGACGTCGCGAACGACAGTCTAGAGCACAGTGTTGTACGCCATTCTCGACGTATAGGTATCGAGCAAGGTTAAAAAGTGACGAATACAACGACATGAGCGTCCGGGGCAGCCTCGACAAACGTCGCGCGTCCTGGTGCGGGCGCCTGGCATGTCCGGCCCGATGCCCGATATCAACCGAGGAACCGGACTCGCCTGTCGTCTCCAGCTTCCACCACCGCAGACTGGGAAGTTTGCCAGACCATCTCACCTTGAAGGGACTCGTGCTTATACTTTGCATTGATATCACCTGATAAGATGAGAGCGACAAGGTCTCCATCACTTTGACCTCACATACGTGATCAGTATCGCTCTCGTCGCGCTCACTCCTCCACGCATCAACCGCCGCACGTCGTCATCTAGGTGACTTGTCGGACTGGGTGCAAAAGGGGATTCTTCTCCCTTGAGCAGCTCTGGCCGGGCTGTATATCTGATCCGAATCCCAACATTGGCCTTCTTAATAAGCGGCTATCATCCCTTCAGAGTCCATCCTGGGCAAACGGCGTCATACGAGAGCGTCATACTCTTAAGGACGTATACCGAACCGCTCGACGCGTACGCAACATGCCGTCCTGGCAAGCTTCTCGAAACGGCAACAGCGATTGTTCTTGAAGCTCGATATGGTAACGCCGTTTGTCGTCGTGGGTGCGCGAGGCTTGTCAGATGTGATGCTGCGACCCACCCGCTGTATACGCGTCGCCGTATTTAAGGACATCGTTTGTGCTACTCCTGCATCGTTCAAACATTTCACGGAGCCTACTACAGCTTGTCAATCAATATGGCCGCACCCGACTTCAGCGAATGCACCATCTTCAGTCCTCGTCACGAGTCCGTATCCCAATCTCCTCCCCTTCGCGCACCAGCTCATCCCTCCGTAGCGTCTACCCTCTCATCGACCCTCAACCGGCCTTTGCTTCTCAATCATACAAAGATCAAGTGGTCATCGTCACCGGCGGCTCCTCCGGCATCGGGTTCGCCACAGCTCTCATGTACGCCCGCGCGGGCGCCCGTGTCGTCGTCAATGCCCGCAACGCGTCTAAGCTCGAGGCAAAGAAGGCTGAGATTGAAGAGAGGGTCAAGGGAGCGAGGGTCGTAGCCGCCGCCGGCGATATCAGTGACGCCGAGGTCGGGAAGAAGACCGTGAAGGCTGCGGTAGACGCTTGGGGCAGGGTGGACATTGTCATCGCCAACTCTGCCATCCTTCAGGGCGGCGCACGTGCGTTTCATCTCACTCGTCCCAGGCAGTGTACGGAGTACTCACACTCAGTTGCAGGTATCCATGAGCTAGATGTGGCGAAGTGGTGGTACAGTCTAGAAGTCAACGTCCGGGGTGTACTGAACATCGTCCAGTGCGTGCAAAGCTGCACTTCCCCTTTCTTTCTCGCTCACACTCGGCCTCTTCACCAGCGCGGCCATTCCAGAGCTCCTCAAGACCAAAGGTCAAATCGTTGTATCGTCTTCAGACCTCGCGCATGCGCGCTTCCCGCTCCTCGCGGACATGTCGCTCAGCAAACACACGACCAATCGCTTCGTCGAGATCCTCGCGCTCGGTACGTCGAGGCCTTCTGGAACTTCGCATACGCGGCTAACCTGCAGATGTGCAGATTACCCCGAGTTGAAGATGTACTCTGTGCACCCTGGAGAGATCATGACCGAAGGCGCGGAAGTTGTGCAGACGAATCTCGGTATCAAAGGCCAGGTGAATATGCCGGATACGGTCGAGCTCGCTGCTGCGACCTATATGTGGCTTACCGGGAGGAATGCCGAGTTTCTCAACGGAAGGTGAGTGTCCGGGTCCATCAAACTTGAGTTCACCATCGTGCTGATACACTGCGAAGATATCTGCAGGCAACGTGGGATCTGGGCGAGGTGCTCGCGAAGAAGGATGAGATTGTGAAGGATAACTTGCTCGTTACGAAGTTGGCGGGCCCGAGTCGGAAGTAGGGATGAGATGTATCGTGTATGCCCAATGTGTAGTATAAGACGCCCCAGGCGTGTGCTGTACAACGAGACATGAGATCACTGTTCAAGTTAACTTGGGCCGAGGCGCTACCATAAGCGCCCATACACATACTTACACCCTTCCTGATCGCCAAGCCCAAGCGCTAGATCCCGATGGGGCCAGTGCGGGGTTACCATCCTAACACCACTGCACCATCCTCTTCCCATCCACCCACCAGCCTCCATGAACAGCATTTGGACAGCCGCTGTACGCCTTCGTGATGGACAATGGCAAATGCGGAAGGCGGCTTGCAGCCGCGGAGGACTGCGCATGCGTAGATCGGGGATGTAACGAATGACGCTCCGCTCGAACAAGCTTCGAACGAACCCCGTTTCTGCTGTACATGTAACCCCTCCTCGCGCCCGACATGCCCTCCTCTTTCTCTACCAACCATCTGGTCTACTTCGAGGATGCCAACACCGACTACGCGCCTGGCGCGCTCTTCTGCACTCGTAACAATACTGGCTCTGGCTGGGCTCTCGCTCATAGCTATATCGACAACCAAATCATCCGCCCTCCGCGCTCGCGTACCAGACGCCTACTACTGGATCCCATCTCTCCAGTCTCTACCCTTTTCTTCTTCGGATAACTCCGACGCCAGTCTTACCCGCGTATCCGAGGCGAACGTCGATGTCTCGGCCATTCAGAGTCCGCTCGCGAGGAGAAAGGCCAACGCAACAATCGTAATGTTGGCGAGGAATAGCGATGTGGACGGTGTGGTGCAGAGTGTGAGGGATATGGAGGATAGGTTCAACAGGTGGCACGGCTATCCTTGGACGTTCTTGAACGATGAAGTCTTCAGCGAGGACTTCAAGCGGTAAGCTGCTTCAGGCCTTTCATGAGGTAATGTCCACTGAATATCACCGGGATGCAGGAGAGTATCGAACTTGATATCGTCGCCAGTGGAGTTTGGCACCGTACCGCGCGAACATTGGGTTCAACCCGATTGGATCGACGAGACACGCGCAAGCGCTTCGAGAGACCAAATGAAGCAAGAGAACGTCATCTATGGCGACTCGCTCTCGTGCGTGCCTTCCTCTCCCGGGCGCTAGCTCTAGATGAGGCCGCGGCTGACATCTTTCTTTGCTCGTAGATACCGCAACATGTGCCGCTTTAACTCGGGCTTCTTCTTCCGCCACCCATTGCTGCAGAAGTACCGGTACTACTGGCGCGTCGAGCCAGATGTGCACTTCCACTGCGACACGCGATTCGATCCGTTTCTCGTACGTACCTATCTCTCCGCTGGTTTCCTCCTTAATGTCAAGAGCTCACGGATGCACAGTTCATGGCGGACAATAGCAAAACCTACGGATTCACAATCACGATGTACGAGTTCGCGCGAACGATCGAGACGCTCTGGGATGCCGTGAAAGGTATCTGCTTATCCCTCTTCATCCCGTCTGCTCGCGCTAATGTACACCTCATCAGAGTTCTCGCGTTTACATCCCGAACACCTTGCACCCGATAACGCGCTCAGATTCCTCTCCGACGACGGCGGCCAGACCTACAACCTCTGCCACTTCTGGTCAAACTTCGAGATCGCGGATATGGATCTGTGGAGGAGTCCAGCGTATATGGAGTTCTTCGAGTTCTTGGATAAGAAGGGAGGGTTCTACTATGAGAGGTGGGGCGATGCCCCCGTACATTCGATCGCGGCGGCGCTGTTCTCGAAGAGGGAGCAGATACACTTCTTCAGGGAGATCGGGTACGAGCATAATCCGTGAGTGTGCTGCCTTTGCCACGACCTGCGAGCGTTGTCTGACGAGTATCGTTGTAGGTATATGCATTGTCCGGCTGAGGAGGACCTCTGGGAGCGCGGGCGCTGTAGTTGCAAACCTCAGCAAAGCTTCGGTGCGTACTTCTCACTTCCCTCAGTGTATAATATCAAGTCTGACTGCACGATGTAGACTACAACGGCTATTCGTGCCTTGCTAAGTGGGACGCCGTCGCGGCCCGTTGAACCAACAAACTCGGATTTTTCATTTCGAGCGCAGTCTCGCGTCCGCCTCCATCAATACTCCATCGCGCACCTCCGCTAGACTCGAACCCAGTCCCCACGTAGGTGAAGACAGTCGTTCACCTAGCCACAGCGACGCGACATTGTCCGGCTCGCGAGGGGACTGGCTTGCGAGTCTACACCTCCGCGGCCGTCTATACCGTGCCCCGTCTACTACTACTCATCAAGTCCTGCATACGTACATAGAAACTTCCATCTGTAATTGTATACTACTAGCCATATCTGATTGACGCAGTTGACGCAGTTGGCGCCCTCATCACAATCATGCGATAGAATGGGAGTTCAGGCTGAGCGCGCGATGAAGCTGCTGATACATCGGAGCCAGAGTAGTGCATACTACAGAAGCTTGAGTATAAGTGACTAGTGAAATGTCAAGAGAACATCATAGCGAGTCGAAGAAAAAGAATCAACCCATGGCACCCGTAGTACGTCGGCCGGGAGTCGAACCCGGGCCCCTTGCTTAGCTTCCAGTGGAAGGCAAGGATGATAACCGTTTCACCACCGACGTTGATACTCCTTGAGCACTTACAGGCAATATAATCGCAACTTTTTGTGTTCCTGGTCAGGACCGTGCCGTGACTACCGCGCGTGTTGACTGGCGAATGCAGCGCAGCATACCTTGCCTTGATCCCTCATGCGCCAGACGGCCTGAGGACTCATACTTCTCCTACAGTATGTGAATGGTCCCAGACCATTTTCCCCAATCAACGAAGTCGTCATCGGCGCGAAGTGCCCGCTAGTCTTTCAGTTACTCGTCTGCTCTGAATTGGACGAACCGTTCAAGCCTTAGAACCATGAAGACCTTGGAGCCGCTTCTGCTGCTTCCATCTTGTCTGTCAATGTACTGTACGGATGGGACGACGCGGAAGACATCGCGTTCATCAGAATCGGTGGGGACTCTTACGATGACCTCTCGGAACCGGACGTCCACCAACGCCTGCTCATCGTGGCAATGACTCTATGCATCCTCAATACGGAGCTGATCAAGTCGCGAAGAAGGGGTCGTTCTCTACTGTATAGCGATGATTCCATCCAGGGGTGTGAAGCGCGCTGGCGCTGAGAGGTCACGCGGAAGAAGTGCGGCAGTTACACTCCCAGCGAGCCTTGCCTCGAACTCTCATGTCCGTGTTTCTACCTCTCATTGCGACAACGATCCTTTGGCCTCATGCCCTGATTCAGTGATGGACGACAATGCGACGCGCTTGTCCTCATATGAGTCTACAGAAGTCTCGCTGGAAGTCCGCTCTGTCAAGATGTTCGGGCAGGACTATTCGTTTCTGAAAGTTGGCGGCGAAGTTGTACCTTCCTGCGCGATTTATTCCGGTCTGATCACGACTCCGGCCAGCTTCATCAGACGTACGGTGTCTTTTCGACTCTCACTGACTCTCACTGACTCCATACTGTCACTTCCAGTTTCACAGTGCAGTACGCGACCCAGGACATATGACGCTCCGCTTTTGTCTTCAACCTTTCTTGGCCAGCATCTCCCATATGTGGCCCTACGTGTTCGAAGCACGGCTCTTCCGGTGCAATCAAAGGCGCGAGGCACCATGAGCATCGCGAGGCGGCGAGTCTCCCGATGAATCGAGACTCGGGCGACATGACCCCAGCCTGCCACGAAGAGCAGGCATCGTCAAGAGGCGAATGGTCGTGAAATACCTTCAACTGTAGCAGTCATGTCGACATAAACCTGTCATTGCTTGTAAGACCGCGCTCTCCTCCTGCGCGACTTGCTACAGGGTACTTACTCCATTGACAGATCTGACCCCGGTTTCTGACTTCTGGAATAGCGGGCGATACCCTGAAACGTCGAAGAGTGGATGCGCGACCGCTACCGTCTGGCCTACGCCATATGCCGGGCATCATCTCTCATCCGCGACGCATCTTTCGCCGAACGCCTTCCCTTCCTTCGCACTGAGCACTAGGGAGGCGCGGGAGTCACTTGGGGATGCCATACGGTATATAAACCTCAGGCCTTGCGCTTTTACACATCAGGCCTGCTCTCTCTAGCTAGCTTCGTACGTCTCTCAACTACGCCCTCAAAGCTTTTATTTGCGGCTGACAGTTACCGACAGAACACATACCCTTACTCTCAGCACTAACACTCTCAACCATGTCTGGAAACCCCCTCGAGGTACGAATAGTCTCTCCGCACCGTACCTCTAACATTCCCGAGACTCACTTCGGCTGATTCAGACATTCGAAACCAACCCTGGATACCTCGGACAGGGCATCTACATCCAGAAGGATACCACCGTCACGGAGGAGATCTACGTTTCTGTGACCAAGACCGACGTGAACAACGGAAAATCCGCCTGGTACGAGCCCGGAGAAGACGTCGGTATCACTTGGAAGCCCCTTACCAACAAAGCTACCGACAACGAGCACGTCCGCCGCAACGGGGGCTATGAGATCGTCTCTTTCAAGGATGCCAAAGATACTCAGCGCAAGGCGCTCTACCTCAGCATGGCCGGTGACAAGTCGCGCATCGTCACGTTCTCCGGGTGGCACGACAGCGGTATCGTCGTTCAGGTTGTCCCCCAATCGTCTTGAAGGCGAGTTTTTCGCGATCTGATGCTCTGCGTTCCATACTGACAGGTACATGGCAGGCTCTTCGCCCGATCGCTAAGTTGCTCTATCATGATCAAACAGTCCAGCCGTCTGGCCTCATCCCCGTACCCTTTCTCACGCCACGACGGCATCATTTACCGGCCTTTTGTATCTTCATTCACACCGTGTAGGCGCTAGCCTTTATAACATTCCAACTTGTGTTTCAGAATAGCAGTGTGCTCTGAGTCCCTAGCAAGCCAGAGTCTCCGGCTTTGTACGGGTGTACGGTTGGTAAGGTGGTGTTCGCCGTGTGCAAGCCGTGTGCTGCACTGCAGTCGTCCGACCTATTGGAAGATTTGAAGATGACGAGCGCCTTAGTCTTCTTAGCTATACGAAGGATATAAGACCAAGTTGTCCGCTTATGCGATAGAGGATAAGCGAACTAGCAAGATGATGGAACCGGTTCGAAATGTTGCACCTTAGTCGCGCGAGCGGCGACTCGCACCTTGTGGCGCGGGTACCGGTAACTGACCGGTAATCCGGGGACCGGTGCGAACGCCACACCGGAAGTGCGCGCCTTCCAGACCCACTCTGTTCCGACCACGACTACGATGATTTGCGCACCTGTCGTACTACTGGACCTAGAGTTACACCATATCGAGCAGCTCGATGCCTGTCTATATTCTACCCAACCTGCCATGTCGAACTCGAATGCAGCTGCGATAATCGTCATTGGGATGTATGGTGCGTGGTTGACATGTCTCATTCTCTGAGTTGAATCTGACGGCAGCCTCTGACGTAGGGATTTGTGGCTACGTACACAGTAGCATATAGATTCTCTCAATACAAAAGGCACTTTCTGTCAAAAGCTCGAGCCCATAGCAAGGCTTCGTCAGCAGCTATCCGGCGTATTGCTCGTTCCGCGAAACAACGTGGTCAACCCAGATAGTTCTGTGCAGCCGCCGCATGAGCCGAACGATACTCTTCGCGTGCAAACGCCTGGAAGTGTTCATCCCGCTTGCTACAGGGTATGTCCCAATCTAGACGTCGCTTTCGTTGTGCATGTTGTGTGGCAGACCAAATGCCATCCGTGGCTGCCTAGACCGGCTTACGGCGACGCCGCCATGCCTCGCAGTCGGGTGTACTTCCGTCGAGGCGAGATGAGTGGAAGCTGTCATGTACTAGGCCAGAATCTTCTGCGCTGAATAGGTTACTGAGAAGCCTGGAAGGGAGGTCATCCGTCACGGTCGGCGTCATGCGACATGCCACCCTTCTCCTGTTCGCGTTGTTCTCATGATGACCTTTTCACTCACCATATGAATAGCTAGAGTTCAGCGTCTACGTTGACGATCCTCAATTATTCGGCACAAATCGATACCGGTGACCATGCGGTGACCGCGACATTCGCGATGTTCGGCGACATAGACTTTGACCATATCATGCTATCGTCGAGGTGGCCTATGCCCGGGAGCGCTACAATCCCTAGGGACACAAAGGATACTCGCTTCTGAAGCCGATACTGTCAGGTCGGAGTCGCTGGAGCTGTCTGTATGCTCGTCGAGGGAACGACCCTGCAACTCGCGGCACACAATGCAAGCGTTGCACGAGCTCCGCGAAGTCGCTTCGTCTCTACTTACGGAAATACTCAAACTCAGTCTTAGAGAGAGCTGTTGTACGGCTCATACCAGTCGTTCATTGCTGGCTGTCGGCATGTTCAACGCCGACTTCCTTTGCACGATCGCCTTGAGCGTCTCATCGAGCGCCTTATGGGCGTGAATCGAGCATAACCGGCGACCGGCATCGTGCAACAGCCTCGCCTGCCGTCTCACTTCTGATAGCTCCGGTGTGAGCTTCCTGTATGAGCGCAGCAGAGGCGAATTGTGAAGTGAGAGAAACCCCCGCGAGAATACACAACGTGCCATTTACGGGTCCTGTAGAATGCCATTGCAACTCATCATCGTATCAAAGCCGATCCCAGGCTAGGGGGTGGTCAGTGCATGCACCGAGGCGGCAAGGTGCTGTAGAGCCAAACGACGAAGTATTTCTGGCTTGTTTGTGTGCGTTCAAACACATCGTGAGTGTGCAAGTATGTCGCACTGAGCAACCCTCAGTTTTGACTCCCGAGTAGAGCTCTGCTACAAGGCGGAGACGAATTGGACAACGAAGTACTGGGAAAGATGGTTGAAGAGCCTATCGAATAGTGAATACCACCGCTCCTCAACGGCCTCGACTCTCGGCTCCCGCACCTTACGGGGAGCGTACGAGGTGCAATGTTGTCAATTCATCTCACCAAAGCCAATCGAGATGAATTGTGGAATTGAAACAAGGGCATAACTCCATGCCACCGTGTACCCGAGCAGAGGCGCAGACGACGCAGTCTCTGCTTTCGGTACACAGGTGATAATACGGCCCCTGTTCGAACGTCAGAGTGGCGAATATGTTGCCAATCGACACATGGCGAGGAGGAAGCGAGCGACGATACTGAGACACTCCAGATACCTTGACGTTCGCAAGTGCAAGTATACCAACTTTAACCTCGAGCGCACTATCGGCCAGCAGTATAAAGATGGGAACGATGTCCGTTAACTGGTCGTCAGCTCCCCAGCTACTTCGACCCAAGTACCCAGCACTTCAGACACTCTTATCCTCTGTTTAATCACCATGTCTGACAACGGTAGCTCTGGTATCTCGTTGTTACTGACTCGTCACTGACACAACACCCTAGTAGAAGAACAACCTTCCGGAGGAATCAAGTTCCCCGAGCAGATCGACGGTATAGATCGCGTAGTTTGACTTACTAATTCTGGGACACTTATCTTATCTTTAGATCCCAAGAAGTTCTTCAAGGGTGCGGGCGAACTCAACCATGATAACCCCGACTACCTAGAGAGTCTTGGGCGGGTTGAGCAGCACGTGAAGGAGTCGGCAGTCGTCCTCTTCCAGGGCGCTACTCATGAAATGAAGCTCTACATTCACTTGGATGGGATAAAGGCAACCGGCGATTGCAAGCGGAACGGCATGGGTGGCTTTTTGGGCAAGAGTATCCGGTCCGCTATCGAAGAGGTGGGCGTCAAGGGCGGCACGTACAATGCTCACGTGTCGCCGACAAAGATCACGATGACATTCTTGGACGCAAAGAAGAAGAAAATTGCCACGTTCGAAGGAGAGGGAAAGGAGGAGAGCTTGACCAACGCTGTCGGCCAATCTTGGACGGGAGTGTGGGAGCTAGGTGACGCTGAGAGCCCATTGTATACGATGTGAGTGACCATTGTCCTATCCCCCGTCTCAACCTTATGCTCAAATTGTCCTCTAATCATTCGTAGGCGCCGCAAGTGATCATCGATCATCCTGCATCGTTTCGGTACCTCAATGTCGCCCACGGATCACCTCTTTCGCGACATGATGAATCGTTGCCCCAGTCGCGGCGCCATGGCCCATATAGATGTTGTTGTTCGTTCAGAAAAAATCCCCCAAAAATCCCGTCAAGCTTACGTTTAATTGCCTTTCATGCGCTTTGATGGCTCCCTTGTACCATGTTTGTGTATCTTCGTCTGTAAACCGTGTAGGCGTCAGCCTTTTAGAACATTCAACTTGTGCTTTCCACGATCGCTGCCAGGCGCAGGTCCGACTTCAAGGCTATCTTAACCGGTGGCGAGGCACTGCAAGGTGCCGGCTTGTTGGGATACATTTGGTCTTGATCGCCGCCCAGGCCAAGGTATGACTGAGCTTGTTACGGGCCCCTTAAACTGACAAACCGACGAATCGCGGGCGTCTGGGTAGTCTGCACGGCGAAGGCAAATTGCGCTCGTCATGATCAGGAAGAGCGCTTAGCCAGCTTCGGTACTAGTTTGGACAATCGTACAGAGGCCAGATATCAGCAATTCCGGGTACGGTTAATGCAGCCTAACGACCGCTGATCTCCATCTGGAGGGTAGGCGCGGAGCCCATCACCTTGTGCTGGAACTGAGGAGAAGAAGCATGCAAGTCACTGGAGGGCATCCCATTGCCTCCTTACAAAAGTCGCGCTCGACTCGCCGTCGAGGTCTAATGATGAACGGATGAGCGAGGACGTTCTTGATCAGTAAGTGAGCGCGCAGGATAAGATCCAACTTGGTGACGCAGCGTCAGCAGTTTCGCTCTTGCCACCATGATGGTCGTGTCATTCTCGTGGCTTCTCCCAATTCACATCCCTTGTTGTTATGCGCACGACTGATGATCGACTACACCGCTGAGTACGGGTACTCGTACCAGAAGTCTGTCTGCCTCTCGTGCGACATGGTCGCTGGGCTCTGCGCGCGGATCGAGTCGCGCCGACTTGCAAGGGCATACATACAACGGAGTTGAGAGGACCAAGAGGCGTGGAGGGTCGAAAATTGTGGCTTTATTTATCATTGGCATTCGCGGTGCGTGACCTTGCTCATCACGCAGAATATCGGCGCTGACTTCCTTCTCTTCCGTCTAGACTCCACCGCACGTCTCGCGGAGGGCCTGGAAGTGCCTTGACTACCGAATAAACCCGGGTCCTGAAACTTGCGATCGCGGTACTCGGAAATACGTACCTGTGTGTCTTAGCAGGCGTCTAGTGGACACAATATATTCTTCCTAGAATCGGGCATTTATGTCTACTATACCTGTGGATACTGGAGCGCACATTCGTGGCCGCATGGCGAGCGGCGAATATAGACTTGTTTCTGACGTCTGAACGTCCTACGAGCGACCTTCGACCAAAGGTCTCCCGGTGTAGCGCATGATCGTCGCCAGACTGGCATGTGCCTATCATGACATTGGCCGTGCGCTCAGCATAGCAAGATGCACAATCATGCGCATGCGACAGATACCTCAGTTCTGCAGTTCTATTGAACTACGACGGATCGGCACGGTACCGCGAGTCTCAGACAGAAGCATATCGAACTTCGAGTGCGAAGCGTTGCGCGTCCCGCGCATGTCCGCGTCCAGTCATGTCTTACACGATCCCAGGCCGTTTCAGGCGCCTCCAACGGTTGTATATATGCCTACGCCGCCAACGCCGACGCAACTCACCCATGCCCACCATGATCCGCTCACCCCGCTCGTCGCGTGCCATCGCGTTCGGGCTGATGGTCTTCGTACGTCCTCCTGATCCTCAAGTATCAGCTGCTGAATCTGATGTACGGTTTTGTAGCTGAGCATCGCATGCTTCTCGCTCGTATCACTTCAAACGCGTCAACCCGGTCTCACCAGCTTCCTTCCTGATCTCCAGGCGGCACGTCAACGTGTCATGGCGAAGGTGCCCGCCATCTCCAACCTTCTCGACGTCCAGCCTGTGGTTGAACACGAAGGAGAGGACTCGAGCCAAGTCCCATTCGGCGCCGACTACCGCTCGAACGCCACGATGCTCATGCTCGCGCGCAATAGCGATCTCATGGGCGTGCTGCAGAGCGTGCGAGAGGCAGAGGACCGCTTCAACAGGAACTACAAGTACCCATGGGTCTTCTTGAACGAGGAAGACTTCACGGACGAGTTCAAGATGTACGTCGTGCATTCGTTCATCGATCTTCGCATGGCTGACTTCGTGATAGCCGCGTTGCCAACTTGGTCTCTGGCGAGGTATACTTCGGCACTATCCCAAGCGAGCATTGGTATCAGCCGGATTGGATCGATGAAGAGCGCGCGAAGGCGGGTCGCGATGAACTAGTAGCGAATCAGGTTATTTACGGCGGTGCGTCATTTCCGTCTTCACTCTGCACCTTTGTCTGATGTCGGAGCATAGGCAGCGTCTCGTACCGCAACATGTGCCGTTTCAACTCCGGCTTCTTCTACCATCACGAGCTTTTGCAACAGTTCAAGTGGTACTGGCGCGTCGAGTACGTCCATCTTCCTCATACCTTCCCCTCCATGCCCTTTTCTACATGAATCGCCACACCTCATCCCGCCCACCTCATGGCTGACCGCTCTCCAGACCTGACGTGCACTTCTACTGCGATATCACCTTCGACCCATTCGTCTACATGGAGGAGAACGACAAGAAATATGCCTTCACCCTCACGATGCTCGAGTTCGGCCAGACGATCCCGACGCTCTGGGAGACCACAGTCGACTTCATAGCGAAGAACCCGCAATACCTCGCGGAGCGCAACTCGCTCGACTACCTCAGCGACGACGGCGGCCAGACGTACAACCGCTGCCACTTCTGGTCCAACTTCGAGATCGCGGACCTCGACTTTTGGCGCGGGGAGGCGTACAGCGCGTACTTTGACCACCTCGACCGCGCGGGCGGGTTCTACTACGAGCGCTGGGGCGACGCGCCGGTGCACTCTATCGCTGCGGCGCTGTTGTTGCCGAAGGAGCAAATCCACTTCTTCCGCGAGATTGGGTACTTCCATTTCCCCAACATCCATTGTCCGGCGGAGTACGATATCTGGCGCGCGGGGCACTGCAGTTGCAACCCGGGCGAAAGCTTTGGTACGCGTGCTCTTCTCTCGTCACTGCATTTGTGAGTTTGTACTGATGAGTACTGCAGACTACACCGGTGACTCCTGCATGCGCCAGTGGGAGCGAGTCAACCCATTGGCCTGATGAAGCGCTTGAGCGCCGCTCTCAATAATCATGTGTGACCCATTCTAGCTCTCATTCGCTTTCGCATTGCTGTTCTCATCGGGGATGTATATCTCTCTCGCCTACTATCCCGTCGTCTTCGTACTCTTGTAGTTTAGGGCTTCCCAACTCGAATGAATCATTCTTGTCATCAAAGTCGAATATTGCTGCGCAGACGGTCGAAGTTGTTGACAGCAGGCCCATCCAGGCTCGCGCCTTGATCAACCCATCTTACAATACCTACAACTGCGCGGAGTATCTTCGCGATCGACTCACAACGTGAAGGACACATGTTACTACGAACGATATACCGAAGCCTGTGTGGTAACTACATATGTAAACGATACATTCGTCCGATTGGCAAACCAGGCTTCGTAATCAGTGGTCCGAGGGCGACCGGCGTGCTCCTGCAATGGCAATGAACTTTGCTACTCACAGCAATCACACTTGAACTGAAGTCAGCATATGAAACGAGAGCGACAGCGCAGGACTCACAATGCGTACTAGATTAGATCTCTGCACCAGTCAATCACAATTGCTGTCTAGGCACTCATCGCTTCTTTGGGGAATGTCTCCCTGGTACTTGTGACTGTGGTCCGCAAGAGCGAGTCTCGTCTTGTCCGTGATTGCAGGCCGTGTGATGATGGAGTAGGGTCTCACGGGTCGGGAGGCTAGACGTGCAGGCAGGGAGAGCACGGACTTTACCGGCTTAGTCAGCAGTGTTCCGGTCGTAGCACACCTCATGTCGTGGCGTAGTTGCCATCCGATCACCACCGGGCTGTGCATAGAGCCTTCGGTTTGCTTGACCTAGCCGCCTGGCCACTCCCTAATAAGCATGTATGCTACACGCTATTCAAATCCGCCAAGCACGTACGCCGAGCGACGCTCAATGTGGTGTTTGATCAGACATCGGCCCGATGTTGGTCAAGCAATAACTTCGCGAAATCGGACTTGCCTCGCACCTTCGTGAGACCATCTGGCTCAAAGACCGTTCCATTCAGGGCTAAAACTTGGTATCGAAACAGAGCTCACTCATTCATGCGATTGTCGCAACCTGGTGTAGAGCGACACTGAACCGTTACTGACATGAACCACTTCGGACTGCTCTTGCGATTCCTTGCCTCTCTTGATCAGTCAGCCCTGGCAGCGACAGCGGCTGGGCTTCAAGCGCTGACGATACACTCACCACTCAAACTACTTGTATAGAGGCCACGGGTGGTTCTTGGTGACATGACACATCAAGCTTACGCTCTGTGCCCCTTCAACGACCCGAAGTCACAATCGTGGTCACATCAGGTGACGAAAAAAACGATTCAGGCTACCCACCTAGCACCACAAAGGATTATTGGCGAAATGAGAAGGACAAAGGGGCGCGCGAGCAAACCCCGTATAAAGAAGCCACCGACTGCCGCGCTTTCCTTGCACTTTTTCCCAGCCGTACACCATGAACGTCGACGTCGATACTGATTTCCTCGACCTTGACCTCGAGCATATCACTCTGGACGAGGTGGAGAAGCTGAGCGAACGCCAGATAACAATACTCCTTGCGCGAAAGGTGAAGGAGTACGAAGCAGCGGAAAGACCCTTGCCTTTCCGCTTCAGAGGGCTGATGGGTGCGTCGTCATCTACTAACTTCATACCTATCTTAGTGAACCAGAACAGGACAGGCCAATCCATGCGACAACTGCATGGAGTACATTAAACCCAACAAGACGCCCAAACTGTGTAGTGGATGTAAGGCTGTGACGTACTGCAGTCGACAAGTACGCCCCAACTTTCTGCAAGAACACTCACCTACTCACTTCATACGTATATCCAGTGTCAAGTAACAGCTTGGAAAGGATACAGAATGGGCATGCGACCTCACAAAGTTCTGTGTGATGACAATAAGGTACCGAGATCTGACTTTGTTGTCTGAACCTTCACGCCGTTCATCTACATCATGTAGCGTCATATGCAGCGCCTTCCCCGTGTCTCGGCTGTACTCAAGCAGTTCCCTTGGGGTCGAGTAGAAGAGAACGGGACGTTCAATCTCAAGGTCGCCAAAGCCCGCTTTGGCGTCTACGGCAGCACTGGCTTTGGATTCTGGAGCCACAGCATCGGGGAGAACCCGCACCAGGATATGCGATACACGTTCTTTCAGCGGCCTGGCGAAACCTTCGAGGATCACGATAATGGATACGACCTGCTGCATCTACCGTTCCATCTCACAGATAGGCAGGGATGGGGTCTCGACGAGGACCTGATCCCGTACCGCGATCTGGAGTCTATCAGTCGCGAGAAGTGGCCTGTCTTGATTACGGAGTTCGCGGGCGGAGTGAAGGATTGGGCATCATGGTATCGTTGGCGGAAGCTGCCGCTCGAGTCGCCCGCTGCTCTTTTGATGGACTACCCATTGACTACCTACCATCTGCTTACGCACACCCTGAGCCTCACGAGCACCACGGCTGGAAGCGCGACCGGTCGCATATCGCTGGATGTACACATGCTCGGCGCGGAGATCGAGCTCAACTTCATGCCTCTGTACGTCGTCTCTTCATCTTGTAGCCAGACCGCGACTCAAAACATACATAGCTACTCTGAGCTGGCACTGCTCCTCCCTTACCACGACATCACTATATCCGTCTTCGGCTACGGTGTGTACGAACTCGCACGCCAAGCAACATCCTTGAAAGCTCTGCCCCACTCGCCAGCCGGTCGCGCTTTCGCTTCCCCAGACACGCCTCTCTTCGAATACAAAGCTTTAGACGAGCTGGGCGGTAGCACCCTGAAAATCTTCCTTCGTGGCGAATCCGATGTGTGGTCTTGGGAAGCCGTCCGGAAGGAACAGCGGCCCGACGCCCTCATCGCGCACGACGCCGGATTGTGCGTGTATCCCGGTTGGGCGCCCGTCATCAAGGATGCACACAGGCTGAGGATACCCTTCGCGGTGACTGATTACGCGGAGCAAAGTGCCGAGTTCGAAGTCAGGACTTCGGTAAGTCCCTGACGCTTATACGAGTCTGTGCCGGAGATGGTACTTAGTACGTTTCCACAGATCCCTGCACGGCTCTACCCGCAGGTGCCGGTGTACGGTCCCAACGCCATCGAGCTCAACCCGTTCCACAAGCCAGGGCAACGGGCGAGCCGTGTTCGGCTTCCTAACATCTATACAGTCCATCACCATCCCGTTATACATGGGGACCAGATTATACGGACATTTATTCTTGCTCTCCGCCCCCGCTTATCGCTGTACACGGGGGATGAAAATTATCTACAAGGCCTCCCGCGTGCTCTCAATTAATTTGAACGGCGTTGACGGCGAGGTTCACTCGCTAGTCGTCGTTGAACGACCGCATTTGGCTCGCTTTGAGCACGTCGATAAGAAAATATTGCGTCTGACGAGAGTAAGGGGCCACCTCGCTATAAAAAATACACTGTGACCTACATTTATACCTTGTCTAATCACTGTATAAAAGATCGCGGCCAAATCGGCTGTGCGCGAGCATAATGGGTGTTCTGCTGCAGGCTGCTCGAACACCTCGAACGCGACTGATGGCAGATCCGATATGATCGCAAACACGGTCACATGGCTAGCGCCGTCGCGTCGCGCTCGCAGCGTCGTTTAGTGCCCTGAGAAAGCTTCGGTCGTCGTTTTGCAAATTATAGCTCGGCCTTACATATTCCTATGCCCAACGCAGCTCAAAGCTGCGACGAGTACGGTAGACCGAGGTGTTTCCAGGGTCCCAGTGCCCTCTGAAGCAGTGCTAGCTAGTAGTATTTAAACATTTAGAAAGCAATGGCCAATGCTCCGACGTCTCCTGGCGAGCTTCCCGCTGCGCGCAACCTTCTAGTCTTGTTTGCTGTCCGGATACAGCCTTTCTTTCCCACCATCTTCTATCCCTAGCCGACTACATCAATGACGAAGGCCAAATCTCTTGTTCGCAGGCAACAGGAGGCTGCAGCTTTGAAGGAGGTTGTTCTACAGCGTGCTATGGTCATCTACGTGGAGGAACTTGCAAAGCCAAACGGAGATGGCTCGCGTGAGTGCTGCCAGCGCGCAACCGACGAGTTTATCAGGAGCATGGGGGTCGAGGTGAAACTCAACCACGCCACTCTCATCAATCGCCTTAAGGGAGGTCTATCCATCGCCGAGGCTCACACGAAGGCTAAACTCATCAAGCCGCATGTGGCGCGGAAGATCATTGAGCATGTCAAGGAGGTACGTCGGTTGCTAGCTCACACACACACCGCGTGTTGACCTCATCTGTCCTTTTTGGTAGCTGGCTCTCCGCGGATGGCCAATCAACTTCCAGCGCCTCCGGGACATCATCGACACATTCCTGCGCTCGACTCTGGGCGACGAATTCAAAGGTGTCGGTCACAACCACGTTTACCGCTTCGTGGAAGAGCACCACACCGAGCTCAAGGCTTACTGGACTCGCTCTCTCGAGTCGAACCGCGGCCAGGCCGTCAACCCGGCTACCAACAAGGCCTGGTTCGACCTTCTCATCGAGACCGCGGAGAGGCTCAACATCGCCCCTGAATGTACTGCCGGTACCGACGAGGCCGGCTTCAACTCGGCACTCATCCAACGGGCGAAAGCCATCGGCGTGACAGGCCGCAAGACACTCTATCAGCGTAACGACGGGCCGCGCGAGAACATCACCGTCATAGCTACTATCTTTGCAGATGGTACTTCGCTCGCACCCACTGTCATCTTCAAAGGCGATGGGTTTCAAGTTCAGTGGGCGGAGAATAACTCGATGAAGGCAACGTATGTCTTCGGCTTGTACCACATCATGAATACTGTGGCTGACTTATTCTCCTGGCTCAGGATCGGGCACTCACACAAAGGCTGGACCGACGGCGAGATTGGCGTCGATTGGATCAAGGACTTCGACGAGAAGACGCGCGAGAGAGCGGCAGGCCGTCCGCGTCTTCTTCTTGTCGATGGCCACAATTCCCACTACACGGAGGCATTCCTAGCGTATGCGCGCGCGCACGACATCCATGTTCTCTGCTACCCTGCACACACGACCCATGTCTACCAAGGCCTTGACGTCGTTGTGTTTGCGAAGCTCAAGACTTACTGGAACGAGGCCAAGGTCGCCATGAAGGTGCGAGTGACAAAAAGAAACTTCATCGAGTGCCTAGCGGTGAGTTGCGGGTCTCATGGTTATACTCTATTACTCACGCCGAAACGCGCAGGTCGCCTGGGAGCGTGCAATGACGCCCGCTAACATCAAGGCCGCGTTTCGCAAGACGGGCGTGTATCCGCGCGACCCGTCGGTCATCAAAGACGCCGACCTCGCACCCAGTCGTGCAACTACCACCAAGGCTGCATTCACCGTCGAACCACCAGAGCCAGTACGCATTTTGACGAGCTTCTTCCGCGACGTACTTCGTAGACAAGAACTGTACGCATCGCTATCTTCTCTACTCGGATCAAACACTAATAAGGACAACAGCGCCACCGAACTCCCACAGCAACCATCCGGAGAGCAACCGACCGACGGCGATGTCGACATGGATTCATCCGCCGACACCGCCGCCGCTACAGAGAGCGCCCGTCTCATGAAGGCGCAGCTGTTGCACAGCTCGGTCGGGTGGCTGGTTGACGGCGCACCCATTTCCTCGGTGCACCAACTGCCGGCCTTCGCTCTTTCGCCACTCCTCGCTTTACCTATCGAACCCCTCGCACCCTTCACCCCCCAGACGGAGAATGAGTCCCGTCTACATGCCGCCCTACTGCAGTGGATGAGCATCGCGCACATACAAGCCGAGGAGAGGGAGAACGAACGCATTACGCTGGTCCTTCAGTCGGACTACGTCGACCGAGTGCGGAGTCAGCTCATCGACAAGGAGAACAAGAAGACGTCCACTCGCCAGAAGCTCGTCGGAGACGGATTGCCGCGCCTTCTAACAGATGACGCCTTCTTCGCACGTGTTCAGGAGCACGAGAAGCGCATGGCGGAGGATGCAGCTGGGAAGGAGAGTCGCAAGCTGGGTGCAGAAGGATACAAGGCGGCGAAGGTCGAGTGGGAGTATCAGTCGCGGAAACGGCGCGAGCAGAACGACGCGATAAAAGCGGAGTATGCCGGTAAGCTCGCCGAGTGGAAGACCCAATGCGAGCAGCGCAAGCGGGATGGAGATCGCTCTCGCGCTAGCGCGATTCCGAAACCTTTGAGAGGGCCCTTGGTCGCGGCGATACCCAAGCCCAAGCTGAAGGATTTTGCGCCAAAAGCGGGGGAGGACCAGGTAAACGACGATGTTGACTCAGACGAAGAGATGGAAGAGGCTGGAGGCGAGGGCGGGGACGACGATGAGGGTTCAGACGAAGAGTAGACGCGCGCGGGACGCGCTTCTTTCAACGCGCGTGATCGCGCCCATTATTTAATTCGCTCTCGGCATGTCTCGGCAACCGTTATCTCAGTGTTCAATGTGGGGGTGCTGGC